GTTATCTGGCCGTGACAGACGCTAATCGTCGGCCGTCTCTCCCTCCGTCCACTCCCATTCTGAGCGCCAGGATCGTTTTTGAAAAACGACACTAGTTTCTGGCTGCCAGAATTGCTTTTGAAAAACGACACTACTAATAACGATGCTGTTTTGCGGCCCTAGACAAGAGTACCGCTCTATCTATGGGCCATACACAGTGATCGGGTGAAAGTACGTGTATACCTTTGGTCGCAATTACCGACACTCACACATCATACATTATGGTAACTTTAAATAGATCGTCGGGAGAAGATAACAGAAGGCCTAGCGACGAACAGACAACTTCCGGTCAAAATTGACAGAATTCCATGAAATTCGAACTTTCAGGAGTTCTGAGCACCTCCTTTTCATGAATTTCGGCCAGAACGATCTTTTCCCAAATTTAATTATTTTTTACTGTTCGAAATTCATGGCACATTACCGTATGTTCTGAAGAGAGTGTTTTAAAAAGTCGTGTTCATATCTGATGTCATATGATGATTAAGTTAGGCTGATCAGAGGCAGAGAAATGAATTTCAACACCAACATGCTGTTAATTATCTGAGAGAACAAGGATTTTGTTTGCTGATGGAATTTCACCTGCTCAGCTGTTAGCAAATTCAGGGCCCAGATGATTACATAGTGGAATATCTTGAAAAGTATAATACTTCATACAGCAAATTTCAGGGGTCTTTATTATGACCCAGTTACATCCCTGATTGTATCAGTAGTTTTGACAGATTGTGTAATATAATGCTGCGTTAAATGTGTTTTGAACCACAAAATTTACAACTACAATGCCTTTGGTTGTATTACAGGGCTTTTCATTGATGCCTTGTCATGAGCAAGTTTCTTTTGTAAGCAATTAATAAAAAGAAATGTTATAAATAAAAAAAGTAGTAACATTTTTAATTTGTTAAAAATTCCTTGGGTCATTGCTAATAGAAAATGAATTTGTCTTAAGTAATTCACAAAAGGACATATAAAATGTTATGTTACTGTTCATACAGAGTTTAGTGCTTTGAAACATTTAGTGTGTGTATGTGCCCTTTTAAATATGATTTACTGAATCAAATTTTTTAGGTATTACCCAAAATACAAAATGATGGCATGGTACATTTCATAATTTTATATTAAAATATGACAATATATATATATATATATATATATATATATATATATATATATATATATATGTTCAATATCCTGTTTTGGTACTGATAGTGCGTCAGCTGTGTGAAAAAAACTTCATGGACAATAAATAAAAGCAGTGGATGCAGATAAAAGTTCGTGAACTCGCACCCTCTATAGGAACTGTGAACTTGGATAAAGTGTTACCTATCAAATAGCAAGGTTTGATTCATAGCCAACATGCTTTAATTGTTAGTATTCTGGAATATATTGTAGTGTTTTAGGATTCTGCTGCCACTTCTGCTGGTACTTCTTGTGTCTCAGAAGAATCTGCATCAGTTTTGTTCTTGTTTTTATTTTTCTGCTCCTGTTTTTTTTTCTCCTCATATGTATCTGGATCCATGAAGACCAGAGAACTCCTTGGCCTCAAACGTCCATCATAGCGTGGAGAAAAATTACCTATAAAGCAAAACAAATTGAGTAGCCTTGTAACATTATTATTTAAAAATCTGTTTATATTAATGATTTAATTCAAAATTTGTCAAAGTTTCTGTGTAAAATATGAATTGAATGATTATTGTTCTGACTGAAACTTCACATCTTTCCCTTTAAAGTCAATAGTTCAGTTACAGTGCTCAATAATTGGTCAAATGATATAATAAAAAATAATTGGTACCATGTGCTGGGGTGGATGCTCTGGATAAACTGGATGGGTCTTTTCCTGCAATAAGATTTTTCTCAATAATGACCTGAATGACATTTCTTGGTATTTTCTGCCTTACATTTTGTTTTAAATGTACCATATGCAAGTAATTGCCAAGTTCAAATGTCTCATTATGTAAAATCAGATGATAAATTTACTGCCTCTGTTGAAAAGTTGCCCCAAACTAAGAGCAATAAGTAGTTTAATATCCATTTTTTTCTAAAGAGGCAAAGAAACATATGATGAACTTGGACTCAATTGCATCAAAATGCTTAATTTTTCAAAAGTTTTTTCTTTTAATTTTAAAGTGAAATCTAAATGACAATGTCAACAATTTGTTACTACCTTGAGAGTCCAACTTCTTTTTCACTATTCCATTTGGTGTCATGATCATCTCTGTTTGAAGATCTTCACAGTCTGGTGTAGAGCTGGGCGTCCTGGAGCGGTGGTGACCCACAGAGGTCGACGGACGGGAAGGATAGGTGGAGACACTGGGCAGAGCATGATCCATTTGGTCCAGTTCGTGTTTTTCAGCCATGTTATCAAAGTTTAGTGAAGACCTTGGAGGGGCACTTTTGGTTCTAAGCTTCTTTTTGCCTGAGAATGAAACACATTTTTAGCATTTATACATATATATGTGTTATAATTATAACTTTCAGTATTTCTTGTATTGTTCTATTTTTGAAAAGTGTATCATCAGAAAATAAACAAGTCCAAATTCATACAAATTCATCACTTTACCAGATAAGAATGCAGTGTACTATAAATTAAATAGATAAGATGATACAGTGCTCTTCTTTTAGATTATTATTATTGTAATATGATGGCTCTTTACTGAGTCCAACGTGCCGGACTCTATTCAGGAGAGAGACAACAACAATGCGTCTGACTTCTACGAAAGTTTATTATGAAGTGCTAGGCTTGTATATACATGTACATTAAAAAGTATGAGGAACACCTGTTTACTTTAACAATGGCTGAGAACTGTCATCAAGTGTAATCTGTAGGTGACCAAGGGTCATTCAAAGAATGCCACTAATGGAAGCTTGTGAACTTTGATGACATTTACCAAAAACAAGAAGATAATGTTACAATTATTATTATTATTATTCAGTTATAAAAATATTAGATTAGGCAGCTAAGTACTTCCCTTGAAATTATTATCATCCTTGATTTTTTCACTCTATACATTTATCAATGGTTTTGTTATTTCACCTACCCCCAGGCGTCCCTGCATCTTCTTTTGGAATACATAATGGTGCGTATGCTGAGAAAAGACTCTTTTCCCTTCTGCTGAGTTGTGTATTTCTCCACTCCTCATGCACTCTTCTCCTTTCCTCCATGATGGCTTTTCTACTTTTGCGAGACCCTTCTTGGCTGCATGGTAGAAAATGGCACAATTTTAGTTTCTCCAATATTTTTAGACAAATTCATAGTGAACATCTTTTTCATGCTTTTATAAATGATAAATAAAACCATGTTAGTGTTATCTTAAGAATATGGAAAGTCATTCAGTATAATCTTTTGATTAAAAAAATCATAACTTACCACTGGACAATTATTTGAAATTTTTCAATCTCTGACATTTACTTACTATGGCCATAATTTACACCCAAATGTGAATGCTTAAATCTGATGCTGCCCTATTTTCAATTAATATCTAAAACAGAACCGTGTGTCATACCAACCTTTTTGTCTGCAAAGTGTTTTTTCCTTTCATTTCAAAGAATAAGCAAGAACATTTCAACCCTCACACAATACACATGCAAATCATTGAAAATGTTGCAAAAATGTTATTTCCTCATGATTTCTTTTTAGGGAAAATAAAGGTTTTCAGTAAAGATTGGCATTTTATTAGGGAAACACATAAATTAAGAAATATGGTATAAAAAGCATACACATGCATATAAAGAACAAGGTGGATAGTAAAACTAAAGCTGATTTCATAACTAAGATAAGGTACTTGGTAACTTCTTTGTATTCAATTTATTATTTGTCAGAGGACAGGAAAACATTTATAATGGTCCCTTTAATTTCTAAGGAGGGGAAAGGAGGGACATCATCATTTCATCAACTTCAAATTAAAAATGCTCAGGAACTGTAAGCAAAAAGGTCTTCCAAATATTGGTAAGATTTGGGTTAAACACATGTAATGCTAAATTCTTTATGCTGATCAAAGAAAGGTTATGTTCACATTTGCAATAGCAGGATATAGTTGAATATGTATGAACTCAAGCACATTCACAGTTGGGATGCATTCTGAACGGGGAAACACAACAATCATGCAGTGCAGAGAGAACTTACTTTATAATTGGCAGAGAAAACTTTTGAGAATTACAAGGACAAGGAAGTGGTCTAAAATAAAGAAGTGTGTGTCAAATAGAAAATAATGGATTTTGCACGAAAGAAAATTGTGTCAAAAATTTAAAGCAAAAGTAGTTGTTAGTATTCCTTACTTGATAAGTTACTGGCATAAATTAAAGAGAAAGAAAAGTGTTGCTAAGCACCAGCTGCAGCACAAAATATCTTTTGTAGATTACTGAATTTCTATGACATGAAATTTTCTACTTCATCCATAAGCAATTGTCCCAAGATTCCACTTATTTTTTGGCCAACTCCCCCTCCCCTTTTCACTATATTTTCTTATCATTTTTGTTATCTACTCACTCTTCATAGATGAATTCCTTGTTCTCTTTATTCTCCCTTGGAGACCTTCCAGGGTGTCCCATCTCATTACTATTTCCCCCTTCCTTAACCTCACAATGAGTGGCAGCACTTTCACTTTCATTTTCCAGTGGTGTTCCATTCTCTGCTCTTGTTGCCTCAGTCTTGTTCTTGCCCCTCTGATCTCTATCTCTGGGACTGTCATTATCACTTCTTGGTGACTTTGACAATCGTTCAGCACGTCTTATCTTCATGTTTTCATTTAGGTGGAAATTGCTTTCACGTGCCCTCTGAAGGGCAGAGCTTGCCCTGGAATTGACGCATTCGTACATGCTGTTGGTTCTCTCCAGTGCCTGAGAAAGTGCAGTCTCAGCAATCTGCTTGTCCATTTCATCTTGTGCCTGAAACCAATAAAATTGCCAGTAAACCAACTGATGACAAGTATTTGTCAATTATGAATCTTTCATTAATGAATACATTTTAAAATATAAAAAATATATAACATTTTGTGGATTTGAAGATAATTTTTTTAAAAAATCATTCAATCAAACATTCTTATTAACCTCTATTTTTTGTTGATGTTCTTCATGTTTTTTCATCTCATCATCAGCTTTCATTTTGGATTTAATGGCCTCTTGCTCAAACTCTTTCTGAAAATAATAAATCATAGAAAAAATGTTTTAACTAGAGGATCAGAGAGGCGATACCGCCTCCAAATATTGTACCACCAGCTGGAGCAAGCGCATTCGTATAGACCCCCACATACACAAAATAAGGGACACAGCCACCAGTTTTGTGCTTGACAAGCTGTAAAAATGCAATCAACAAGAATTTTTAAACTATTGCAAAAAAAATATAGGGTACAAACAAATTTAAGTTCTTCGTAAGGTAGGTCAAGGGTCAATTTCAAGATCACAGTAAATTGCCAGTATATGACTTCCTATTCAAGTTCAAGAGTATCTATGGACCTATCTCTGTCAAGTTTGAAGTTAAAAGAGAAAGAAATTAGCAGAGTTCAGTTCATGATAAAAAGTAGGTCAAAGGTCAATTTCAAGGTCACACTTAGATCGCCAGTANATAATTAGTATTGAAATTTGTTTTAAGTCCGAATTTGAAGTAGACCAACATTTTAGGTATTGAAGTTAGGACAAACTTCTGACCTTTGTTTTTTCTTAATTAAATCTGCCCCTAGACTGAATGAAATTGAATCATTTTAATCTTTACCTCTAATGATGCACTTAAGTTCTGTATCTTCTTATTCTTAGTTGTGACTGATAATGCCTTGATTTGCTCTGGAAAAAATAATTGTAGAAACAGTGAAAAAAATTAAAATCTCAAATGAATATGGTGGAGAGATTACATAAACTTCAAACAGTGTTTCCTTATCAGAAATATTATTTAACCTTCATTCTGAAATTAAAAAAAAAGTTGGTTTTAAAACATTTCAAATCATATGTATCTAAAGGTACCAACTGGTTTCTACCAACTGCTCAGTAAAGAGTTATTTCCGCTATATCAAATGGTTTATATAACTTTTAAAATATTAAATATCAACAAATTTCAAATATTGAAACTGGTATTATTAAGCTTACCTTTCAGATATGCATCCCAGTTGGCTATGGCTTCTACGTCTATTTCTCCATCAGCCGTCTCTTGTAGCTTCATCAACTTGTTGACCAGTACCCCTTCATCTTGTGACGGAGTCCCAGACATCATCTGAAGACGTTTAAACTTTACCAAGTTGTGTGATGCTTGTCGTTTAAACTCGTATATTTTGACACTTTTCCAAACTTTTTCCCCTATACTGCTCTTTGGTTGGTAATATTTTTCTCCGATTTTTGGAGTCTGTGCTTGTTGTACAGGCTTCGGTGCTGTGTTGTTTTTATGTTGTGTTAGAGTTTTGTCTTTGGTCGATTTAGGACCAGTTTTAACAGCATCCCCTGCTGCTGACTTTGGTTTAGGGGTTGTTCTTGCATGCTGGCTGTACTGGTCATTGGGCTGAGTTTGACCACCTAGTGTGTTCTTAAAGTGGACTTGTTCTTTTCTTTGTTTGCTGTTAATGTTGTTGGCACGTGAATTATTATCTGCTAGTAATCTAGGAGATTTTATCTCTGTGTCCGACCTTGGTGACATTTTGTTGGACTTTTGATGATTCAATCTATTCTGCTGATTTTTCTCTTTTTTCCCTTCTTTATTTTCAATGGCATCTTTTGTTTTTTCTTTGCTCAATGGTGAGGGAGATGAGAGTTTAGATTTCTTGGAAACCTGTTTCTCTGGAGGAAGGCTTTCCATTTTTCCAGGTGGGTGTGCAGTGGACCTTTTCTGCATTATCTTTTCTTTGTGAAAATTCCAGTTTTTCTGAATACTTCTAGCTGCACAGTTGATGACTTTGTCCCCTGTTGCAGCCCCACGTGATCGCAGATAGGTGGCGCATTCGGTGCTATCTCTGGCGAGAGCAGCATCAAGAGGAGATACATGTTTATTCTGTAAATATAAATATTTAAACTTCTCAGTGTCATACACAAAACACAATTGTCTGAAAAAAATATCTAAGCACTACAATATGGCTAGCGATTATTGTGAATAAATAACTTCTGCATAAACACAACTTCAAATATCCTAAACCTTAATCCAACTCAACCGATTTCTATATATATATAATTGTTTTTCCAGTAAGTTACACAAAATTTCCACATTCTGACCTCGAAGTCTTTCAACAAACTGTAGATCCAAATATGAAATCTATATATTATAAAAACTGATATTATAAAAACTGATCAACAACCTCTAAAATTCCCACATATTGTTTTACCAGTCCTTACACCAAAACTACTGGGCAGTTACCTCAGACCATTGGTGAACAACACAGACTGACAGCAGTGGTGGTGTGGTCTTACCTTGTGTTTCATAGTAATATTCACATTAGCACCATGCTGTATCAGGGTCTTGCACATCTGAAGGTCATTGTTGGTGGCAGCAATGTGGAGACAGGTTCGGCCATCTTTGTTGGCCAGATTGGCCTGCCCTTCCATCAACTTCAGGAGGTAGAGAACTGTGTCTGGAAATTGCCAGTGTACAAGAAAATGAAAAACTAAGTAAATTTTACTTGACAATCCCTGTGCCCTACCATAATATAAGAGTGCGTTCCCAATGAGACTATTGTTCTAAGACCCAACTCTGTGGGGATTTGCAGGGTCTCTCGCTGAATGCGATCACATAAACTGAATGACACACCCTTTACATAGAACAATGCTAGCTTTTATTGGGAATGCAGCCTAAGCTTCCAAAGGAGCTGGAAATGATGGAGACTTGTTGATAATAAGTGATGTACCTTTCATTCAAAGTTTATCATAAAATGATGGTTGAATTTGAAATATTTCTTTTCAGTGGAATAATTTAATGTTATAAAGTACATAGAAATGATAATATAAGAATAATACATTGTCAAATATAAGCCCCACTTTTTACAGATTTGACATTTATGAGAATCATTGCATACATGTCAAATGATGTAGATGTACTGACATGGACATGCTTATACAAAAGAGTATAATCAATACTGTTTCATGGTGAACATGCAGATAAAAAATTAATGAGGTGGGTGACAGACTTTGGTAAAATAATAGACAACAGCTAGAGAATATATTATGTGATATGACAATTTGAACATTTTGAGACAAAAACTATAATAAATTAAAAGAGGAAAAAGTATCCATTTGGGTAAATAGATATCTATACATCTAAAATGAAAGCAATTGATACAAAAGATGAACAATGAAATTCACTTGGGGATAAATAAATTAAAGCACATGAATGCCAAACATAGACTTCTATTTCTTTTAATCATCCTAATGGAACTTGCTTATTACACAAATTACAGAGGATGAAGGGGTTTTCAGTTGTGTATTCAGAGAGAAAAATAAATGACTAAGTGCATCAAAAATATTACTGTTATCTGTTAAAAGCTCCTGCTTGAAATCTTAATGTGAAGTGCTTATTACAGAAGATGAAGAGCTTTCAGTTGTTTCTCAAAGAATAACATACAATACAAAATATATGGATGAATAAATGGCACAAAATGTGGTTTCATCATTAATCAATTTGTGTTTAACTCAATGAGTGGATGTAAGTAGGAAGAGACAAAAAATTATTTGAATGTGACATTGAATTACATACAATCTAAACACAAAAACTGTCTGAAGTTCAAGCTCTAATGACAAAATGTTTTGATGGGGTAACTGAGTATTCTCACTCGATCTAATCAAATACATGGTTATTAGAAAATGCATTGTTATTGTGTATTGCAAACTTGCAAAGCAGGAGTTCTGATAGATTATGGTGTATTTATGTTAAAGTAATTTATGGCTGTATCACAGGAAATAATTCTGGGGCTCACTTAAATCTATTTCTTTGCTCCTTCGTATTTTGTGTTTTATCCTTTTTTAAGTTTGTTTATGACTTGCGGCCTGGTATTATTTTAAATGAAGCAGTTGTTTTAACCATTTAAAAGCATGAAAAACAGCACATGTATCATAAAATGCAAATCAATAACAAAATTGCTACAAAGATGCAATTATCTGGCCCAAGGGAGCAATATCTAGAAGGGAGATTTATGTGAGCAACAAATCTAGGGCCCCATTCCCATGGACACTATTGGTCTATGTGGATTGACCCAACTCTGCAGGGACTCTTGCTGATTGCAATCAGCTTAACTTAATGACACGCCTCCTCCTGGCGTTAAGTAGAATACAGAAAAGCTGGTGATTATTCGAGAACTTTGGAAACAAAAGGAGGTATGTCATTCAGGTAAGCTGATTGCACTAAGCAAGAGTCCCCACAGAGTTGGATCAATCCACACAAACTGATGGTGTCTATTGGGATGGAGTCTAAGATTCTCTTTGGTTTTTAACTCACCGACATGCATTCCCTGGGCTGCCTCATGTATAGGACAGTCTCCCTTCATGTTCCTCAACCACAGGTCACCGTGCTGGGTGGACAGCAACTCAAGGCCAGGAATGGACCCTTTGGCTGCAGAGCAGTGGGCAGGGCTGAAGACAGAAACATCTTTGCAGACGTTTTTGTGTTACCTTACAAATACTGCATATAATGTGCATATTTATTGTGTACTTTTGTTGGCTTTAAAATACACTTTTTAAAATTCTTCAATTATAGGGTTTCGTACGAGCTTGGTGTTTCTACTTCAAGCTAATGAAGCTTAACTTGAAAGTTTTTTAAATAGCAAATTCATGTTAAACAATACTAATCTATCACAAAAAAATTACTTCTTTCAGTTAAAGAATTGGCCCCTTTGATCTAATTTCAATACATAAACAGAATTGTTTTTAAATATAAAATCTTTTAAAAAAATCAAGCTATTTCTTCTTGTTTCTCTACCTTCTTCCCTTCTTATCTTGATGGTTGGGGTCAGCCCCCAGCTCCAGCAGAATGTTTGCACAGTGCAGGTGGAGCATGGTCAGTGAGTAGAACAGCGGTGTACACCCATTCTTGTCCAGAGAGTCAACTTTGGCAGAACACTCCGTTACCAAGGTGAAGATGGTGTCGGCATGGCCTCGACTTGAGGCACAGTGAAGGGCTAGAAGAAAAATTTAAAAATTCAAATACACATAAGCCTCTACCAAATAAGAATAACGTTAATAATACCGAGGAATAAAAGGAAAAATACATCTAATGTATCAAAAAGAGTATCTCATTTGCTGGATTTTAAAACTTTCTGATACAAGCACCGAAGCATTGCAGAGAATTTCTAGACTATTATTTTTATTTAAAAAAACGGTTTTACTATTTTTTTCTACTTTTATAACTTTTCTACAACCAAATATTTACCTGTGAGCCCATCTTTATCCGATGACTCCACTTTAGCGCCTGCCTCGATAAGAACTTTGCATGCCTTACAACTACCTGAAAAATAATTAAAAATTCACTTTTAGATACAAAAATTTTACTTAACTAAACACGCATCTTTGAGAAATTCTTTTATAAAAATAGTCTTTTCATCAAAATCTTCTGCCACCTTAAAGAACAAGATTAGAAATTAATCATAGTATATAAGCGTGTTCTAGATAAGATGAGAGCGAGAGAATTTCTTTCACCTCCACTAGCAGCCCAGAGCAAGGGCTGTCTCTCATCCTGATCAATGCAGTCTACAGGCACTCCCTTGGACAGTAGTTTGCTCATGATCTTTATCCCGACCGCCTCGTCACTGCCGCACATCTGGGCTGCGTAGTGGATGGGGTATGCTGTGTGAGAGTCGGGGGTGGACGGGTTGGCCTTCTGGGCGATCAGAAGCTCCAGCATTTCTGCATTGCCACAAACTGAAGAGAAAACAGAACATACAGAACTGGTTTTTAGAAAAATGGTGAAAGTGAATAAAAATTATCCAGTAGAAATATTTTCACATCATCTGATGAGACTGAGTTTCAGTGAATACTGGCACTGGAAACGTTATTTCTGAAACATAAGGTGCTGGTGGGATGACCAGTTGCTATTCTAGGAAATCTCTACGATTAAGTTGAACCCAAATAACTTGTTTGTTTTTCTCTCTCTAAAATGTTACTTTCTTTTATTTTTATTGCTAAAGCTGATGTGTTCATACAAATGCCGAAAATAAAATATGAAGTTCTATGGACAAACCTGCCGCCCAATGAACCGCAGTATGTTTCTCGTTGTCCACAGCGTTCACGTTGGCTCCTCTCTGAATCAGCAGCTGAAACAGCGGCTTGTTGCTGATCTGTACGGCCAGATGTAGGGTGCTGTACCCGTCTGCGTCCTTCTCGTTCAACAATTCTGGGGCTGCAGCCAGTAAGAGCTCCGCGCACCGAACGTTCTCTGTCTCGGCGCAGTAGTGGAGGGCCGTGCGTCCCATTGCCTCCTTCTGTGTCACCATTTCTGGCTGAGTGAAATGAGGTGTAATCGAGATATTACAAATTGGCAAAAAGTGTAAAACTTAGCTTAAATTATAAGTGCTGGTAAAGCATGGGAAAGTTAATGGTAAATTTACAAAGTTCATTGCTGTTCGTGTTACGTTGCTCACATTGCGGTGGGTTTAATTGCAATAGATTAAAGCCAGTTAAAATGCTGAGACATAACCCACCGTCGAACTGCTACAGGCTTATCTTAGTTCTCACTGACATGGTCGTAAGCCCAGATACTTATCAAAAACCATAGGATAATAAACTTTACATATCAATTTACAAAAGTATTTATATCTTTACTGGGTAGATCTACAGTTTTAAGAAATGGGGCAAAATTTTCAAACTGCCCGATATAAAATAATTCCGTAAACCTGATTCTGTTAAACGATGCCGATATTTTACCTTATTTTTGATGCAGTTTTTTACTTGGGCGTCGTTCCCGGCCTGACAAGCCATCATCAGGGGTGTGGCCCCTGCAGGGGGTCCTTCGCCATCGGAACTAGACATTTCCTGCAACAACAATGAAGTAATTGTCAGATCTTGGTTGGCAACGTCTCTCTCTCTCTCTCTCTCTCTCTCTCTCTCTCTCTCTCTCTCTCTGAGTGTGTGTGTGTGTGTGTGTGAGAGAGAGAGAGAGAGAGAGAGAGAGAGAGAGAGAGCAAAGAAAGAATACTGAGGGCAGCATCAGCAAAATATGATTTTTTCAAACACCCGCATCATATTTGATTTACAAGTTATGGGCACAAAACTTAAATTTTAAGATAAACAGTCTCTAGTTTGGCAACATATTCCATAATTTGAGATTATACCTTCTGTCCTTGAAGTAAATCTCCTCAACCGAAGAGTCAAATCACGAGGGTTTCCGCTATTCTTTCCTCTCTATAAGAATGCAAACATTGCTTGACAACTTGGGGATTTTCTGTCGTTACATACCTAGACACTGTACATTCTACTCGACATGTGAAAATAACTTTACACAGTACAAATAACACTATTTAACCATGTCAACAGTTGACTTTTACCGTGGTAGATAACATTGCATGCCAAATCTATGGAATATCCAAGGCAACGGTCTGATTATAGTCTGTAAGCCTGATTATCAGCAGTGGCACATAGCACAGAGGAGAAACATTTTAAGGTACAGACGTGTAACAGTCATAGGCTTCGTTTGCCGGAGATAAACTATAGATTTGAAACCAAGAGATAAATGTTAGATTCCGGAGGCAGTGTTGAAACAAAAAGCATACAAGATTAAGCCCTGTCAGTCTACGTTTTGACACAGACTAGATAAGTTGTATATTATCTGCCGGCGTGTTGCGACTAGCAATGAAATCTCCGAGAAAAGTCAGAAAACGTGTTATAATTTAGTACGAAACAAGGCTTACGGTTTGTTGCTGTGCACATGCTTGANGGTTTGTCGCTGTGTACATGCTTGGTATGTTCTGATTAAAAGAAAAATTGATTGTACTTCTATAAAAAATCTATACAGATTGTCACGTCTTTTATGAAGTGTTGCGATATGTGTGTCTTTTCCACATGTGGTTCACATTGTATATACGCAGTAGTTTACAGAGCCTACAAATGTTACCTTATTTAATGCTCAATAAATTATCATTAAAGTCATTCATTGAACTAGCATTCTTTAATGAAATTACTATGGTTGTTTACTCCTACTATTGAAATTAAAACTTCCAGTCACAGGCTTTTGACATTTGGGCAGCTGCCATCTAAATTCTATATCCTCAAGACCTTCCTTGATAATGACTTTTTGGAAAGTTGAATAATGTTACCTGTCCTTTGACCGCTTTAATTCTTATAACACAAAGCCCAGAGCGAGCCACATATATAAAATTACCTTAAATTTCGTAGACGTTCAGAGCTGTCATCCGCCTCCTTCTACCTGCAGAACTCCATCGATATCACTAAGGCAGCCTGCATTGACACCGGCCAGAGCAAACAAAGCTGGTATGGATTAATACCTAGTGTCTTACTTAGTCCCTTACTGACGGCACGCCATTGATTGGAATATTCAGGCCCTAGCAGATCAAGCGCGGAGACTAGGGACGTATGGTATATATACATACACAAGGATACTAAAAATTGAAGTTTTTTCGCAAAAAAATGCTTCACTATAGTGTGCGGAAAACTTACCGGCCGATCTATTCCGCCGTCACAAATGTTGTTCAACTATGTGCGGTAATGTTATGTTATGTCAGCCTGCGTGTATTTAACATAACACAACTGTTTGTGGCTGCACAACACTCTGAAGCATAGCATCAGCCCTTGCTATGTATATATGTGTGTGTAATTATTCCTGCTTTCAACCACGTTCCATACTAAAAGCCACACATATTGATACGATCTGCACTGGAAATTTCTGTGGAACACAGGTGTATCGCAAAAGCCAGTCAATCAGCGATCATTAACACAGGTTGAATAGGAGCTTGAAGAATAGATTTTCACTACTGTGCTTCTGTTGTACAAGCTCGCCTGTGTGGACTGAAACACGTCAGTAAACATGAAGCTGAATTCTGCATGCTTTCACTGATTTTCAGTGTCAGAGGCCAATGTGTCAACATTAAACAGGGCATTGTGTGGGAAACATTCACAGCCATATTATGTACATTACCGTCGCTAGGTGTTTGTTTTTCGAGCAAATATATTGCTATAACGGGCGCATTGTAATGAGGACTTAAATTCCTTAATGGGATACCGTTTTAGTAGCTTTCATTACAAGAGCTTTTTGTCTTTTTATTTTGTGCATTGAAGGGTTTTGTCAATAAAATTATATATAGTTACCCTACGCTTTTTATAGTACGTTTCTCATATTTTTTATAAGGTGTTAAGACTTTTAATACAATAAGATAGAGCATATGCGGGTTTTGGGCATTAACTATAAGACAACGCAGATTGCCGTTGCTCCAAAAACATTTTTGGTTGCAACAGAATGCGTTTTGATCTTCTCTGTCGCAATTATAAATGGGTAACTCGAAAATTTTACAAGAACATATCAAACAAATCCAAATTATGATATCACAAAAATAAATTCGTGTCTTCATAATAAGATATGCTAACGTATAAAATATTGATCTACTAACTTTTACACTATTTACCTTTTACACGATCGATACAAAATATCATAGTAAATAACGTCGGAATTCAGTTATTTGGAGTGCTACGTGTATTTGTAACATCATGTAAAATATGATCAATTGGTAGCTTGCATTCCTGCATACCGTCTCAAGCGTCCTTTTTCAATTAGAATACAAGCCCAAGCCTCAAGGCTTTATTTATTTATTTTTTATTTAAATATAGTTATACAAAACTGCAATAATCCGCATAAAAGAGGTTGTGACAGTCTGGGAAAAGGTCATCATGCAAGAAGCTACAAAACGTTAATTCCTCCACCACTGGTTTTTTCCTTACTATCATTATTTCACGTTATATATCGTGGGGAGGAGGGGGGGGGGCAATGTATTTCTATATCGTGAAAAACATGACCGTTAGACATGAATAACGATATGATGAGGCTTAATGTAGATTCAAGAATGGTGGAGATATCTTTGTGTGGATGCATATCTCTGTCTCATGATCATTGTCTGACCTTTCCCAACCAAACAAGTCTATGTTTGTCCCAGATCCAAGCGATATATAACCTTCCTCTCCAGAAAACAAATGCATGTTCAGGGCATCAAAAGCAGAAGCACATATTTCAGTTAGTTTTATTAATTTGTTTACAAGATATATTTTCAAGTAAAGTGTGGAGTAAAAATTATATATATATATAAACACTTAAACGCATACCGCTGGAAATCTATTCAGTGTCTATTAGGGAATTATGCAGAAAGCTTTCAAGTGGGTCGGCCATATTTGATCCGCGGATCTGTTCATCCGTGTATCAACTTGTTCTGAGTATCGAACCTCTTGCTCAAAACAAACCTTCCGACTATCAAAACTTCAGACCAATGAGCCTTCGGACTAGCATGGACAAAATTACGTAATTATGTCCAAGGGACTAGCAACAGTAGCGACTGTGGCGAGACTCTGTTTTGTATCATATGCAAGACGAGCCTGTTCTGCCGGGTTTGGCGTGACTCCAACGAGCCGACAAGAGACTGTCCCTCTCAAACTGTTCTCATAATACATGTGCTGAAGCCGTATAAACACACTGTTTGGAGAGAAGGAAAAGTCACTGGTTGGAACTACCTAACTACATGATCATGAGCGCAGTGGTGACAAATTACTTAAGGGAACATCTACCTTATAGCACTGGCGTCTTAATAGTAGTCATTACGGTTGTGGTGCTGCGTTCGATTTTGATGAAATTTGTGGGAATTCCAACTTTAAAGAAAGACTTCCTATCGCACACAGAAGATGTCGACCCAACGGTCTCCAACGGGGAAGATGCAGGTGACTCGATACACAACGATCACGGTGGTGACGATGACGCTCCACGGGTGGCTTTCAACCCCCAGTGTTACCCCAAGTCACAGATGATTGAGCGAGCTCGGAGGTTTTACGAAAATATGAACGCTCGGAGGTCCGTGCGGAGTTTAAGTTCTGAGCCCGTCCCTTTGGATGTGATACAAAATATCATTCGAACTGCAGGTAACAGAAAGGTTGGGAATCATGGGGAATGTTTTGGAGTTGGGCAGGGAGTTTTAAAAAAAAGCAAATTTTCACTAAATGCGACTACAAGATTTAACCTCTGAGATGATAACTTTAAATTAATAGCATTTTCAAAAGTCGCTTGATATTTTATAAAAAAATGCACCCCGTGAGCATATATGTATATTGTTTTATACAAGACATATACACGATTTGCTTGACTCGACGTATTGAACAATGCATAGGACCTTATTCGTGATCTTTCGGTTAATATTCGTGAGGTACATGTAAAATACCAGTTCCCTACGTTTGCCCTACATTCATTTTGTTTACCTTTCGTTATCAAAAAGGCTAGGCAACAATAGCATTTTACAACAAGAAAAGAAATATACGAAATAGAAAAATAAAGAGAGAGAGTCAATGAATGAGTGTAAGAAAGAAAGAAAAATATTGAAAGAAAGGTTGTGGAAAAGAAAAATACACTGCATTTACTGACTACCGCGGTGAGTGTTTTGTACCGGCAGTTATCTCTCACTAAGCATGTCCCAAAGATAAAGTTAGCAAATAATGAATAGGTTGTTTGGCAAAATCCTGTTTTATGGATTTTTTTATTCAGTAAAAGGTATTGATAAAGAAGAACGACCCGTCTGTTGCATGCTGCACACATCCTCGCCAAGTAGACATCGCCGAGATCGCGTTATGACATGTGTCATGCCAAAATACATGAATGTACGATGCTAAAATAGATAATTTTTTATTGCACGATAAAATTTTATTTGCACGACCGTGTAAAATTAAATCAATCTCATTTCACCCCCTTCGTTTTTACCACCCAATTTCGATTATCATTTTAAAGTTAAAACTTTGTTTATATAATTTAAGTTTGTTTTAAAGCTCAACTATCACAAAACATGCTGCTTTTTATTTTTGTTAATCACCAGACGTACTTATTTTTGCGCATGTGCTTGCTGAGCCTGTACAGTTCTAATTGTTAATAACATGCTTCTCTTATTGCACATTGTTAGATGTGATGAGCAATGAACAGTAGGCAAATAATCCTCTAACAATAAACAATAACCCTCTTTACAAAATATAATGGCTGTTAACAAGATTTCTGGTGATAAAGTATCAGGAAAGGAGGACCAAGGATTGGATAGTCGGACAAAAATGCCATTTCCCCCAAGAAAATTCAAATTTTACACTGTGCACCTTTAAGCTAGCCATCAAACTCACTGTTTGTGAGCATGCATGTCAAGGTGACCCAAAACGACATCTAGTTGCCCTTAGTGTTTTACAGACAATAAGCACGGTATCACATGTATATAAGTTACATATATGATTTTAATATCTATTATATGTACTACTATAAATAGTATATGTATTTTTTTAAAAACGTAAAGAAAAGTGCTTCCGTATCACGATTTTCCGTACAACATATAAATTTATGTTTACGTGACTACACAAACGAGAACCCAGCAAACTTAGAACATTATTATAAGTTAGCATTACGTTAATATAACCAAATAACGTTATGGTAACGTTATAATAACGCTCTGTGATACACGTCTTCGCGCGTGTGTGTGTGTGTGCGTTTGTTTTAGTACCTATATATATATATATATATATACATATATTCACAAACACACACGACATCTTCCAGGAACATCTCCTAGCGGCGCCCACACAGAGCCCTGGACATTTGTAGTGGTTAGTAACAAGGGGATAAAAGCTCAAATCCGGCAAATCGTGGAGGCGGAAGAGGAGATAAATTATAGGAAACGCATGGGAAATAAATGGGTGGAGGACTTGAAAAAGTTAAAGGTCAACTGGGAGAAACCTTACCTGGATGTGGCCCCATATCTTATTATAGTGCTGAGACAGGCTTACGGCCTCGGTGAGAACGGAGAGAGGAAAACCCACTATTACAACGAGATCAGCGTGTCCATCGCGGTGGGGCTGCTGCTCGCGGCCGTTCAGGTAATAACGTCCAGCTGTCTGCGTGGTACTGTGAAGACCACGTGAGTTTAAATATGTTTAAATTTTACAGTTTCCGTTATGTTTAATGTCTGTTTTGTATACTGTTTTAGAGTTTTAATTTAATAGTGAATTAAGCCACACCTTTCTTGTCTTCAGAACGCTGGTCTTGTGACAGTGACCACTACCCCAATGAACGCTGGACCTGCACTGCGCACGCTGCTGGGACGCCCCGTTAATGAGAAGGTGGTGGTGCTGCTACCAGTAGGGTATCCGGCAAAGGACGCCACCGTTCCAGACTTAAAGAGAAAAGAACTAGATAAAATTATGGTACTTTTGGACTAAATCATTTTATTTGTGTGTTTGTGTTGGGGTGGGTGGGGGAGGGGGGGGGTACGTCCTAAGACTTGCTTTGAGTAATGTCTCTCTAAGGTTTTGCTTGTGAATACTAATTTATTGGCTTTAAAGCAAAGTTTCTTCAACTGATTATCGTGCTTAATTATTTTTCATTTCGTCAAAGTTTATCTGCTTTATATCTATGCTAAAAGTCCGATGATATCTATGACATGAGCTCTTTCCATCAAACCCTGTCGCTTGGCATCATTAAGGGCGATATAACCATTTTTAATCACGGGAGTAAATAAATAAAAAACAAGGATTTTCAGTACCTTCATTTTTTATGGATGTGTTTGCATTTTTTCAATAGTAAGCAAGGATCCTGTGAAGCTTATGAAATGTTTTTTAGATATCATTTAATTAAGCCGCTTTTGTACTACAATGTTATGCAAAAAATAAATAATGTCAAAATGCATATGTAATTCCCTGATCAAACGACCCTTCACAGTATCGACACTACCCAACTTTTCTGCATTGCATCTTTATTATAGGGGTATGGCGTGACAATTACGTTAATTTTAATTTCTACAGTTGTCTCTCAGAGTTCATACAGGAACTATCATTTATATCAATAAATAACTAAGAAAAAAAGACAAGATATATTCCATACAAACGTTGTATTTTAACACATCATTGATAAAGCATGAGAATAATATAAGAAAATGATATCCAAAAGGGTATTCTCCATCGTCTGCAAATTATTTTCTACATTCAGGTTAAAAACAACATGATTGGGAATATTTCTGACAATTTCCTTAGTGATTAAATCAAACATTTTTCATTGACAAAAACGACGGTGTACAAGCCCTTTCCAATGATAACAGCAATTCCCGGTACTTTTCAAGCTAATGTCACAACATGGATTCAAGAAGGCTTTAATTCAAGCAATTTTCAAGGCTGTGTGAACTCGGTCTCTCTCACATAGTTCTCACGTGACCGTACGAAAACATTTACAGCTTGAAGATAAAACGATACAACTTGAACTACATGATAAGATTACAAGTATGAGTGCTCTGGTAACGAATTATTTAAGGGAACATCTCCCTTATAGCACTGCCGTCTTACTAGTAGTAATTACGGTTGTGGTGCTGCGTTCGATTTTGATGAAATTTATGGGAATTCCAACTTTAAAGAAGGACTTCCCATCAAACAAAGAGGATGTCGACCCAACGGTCTCCCACGAGGAAGGCGGAGGTGACTCGACGATCACAGCGGTGAAGATGACGCTCCCCGGGTGGCTTTCAATCCTCAGTGTTACCCCAAGTCACAGATGATTGAGCGAGCTCAGAGGTTTTACGAAAATATGAACGCTCGGAGGTCCGTGCGGAGTTTAAGTTCTGAGCCCGTCCCTTTGGATGTGATCCAAAATATCATTCGAACTGCAGGTAACAGTTTGGGAATCTTTGGAGTGAGCTCAATTAAAAACACATAAGCAAGGTTTTGCCTCTGACAAATAATAGGTTTTACGTTATAACTTTCTTAAAAAGGCATGTCATATATCAAAATATGCATAACTGGAATTGAAGCTATGCATGAGTATGGCTTATATCTGTATTATTTTATTTTAGACCATAGATCACTTATTGCCTATAATCTGAGGTGGTTAATATTCTGGAGGTAAAAGATTTGTTTACAGAGCTTGCTTCAGGTTTTTTCCTTGGATGAGTGAAAGAGAGAAAGAAAAGTATTGAAAGGAAGGTTGTGAGAAAGAAAAAACATTTACTAAATACTTCGGTGAGCATTTTGTACCGGCAGCTGTCTCTCATTAAATATTTCCTTAAGATACATTTAGCAAATATTGAACTCATTGTAAAGCCAGATCCTGATTTTGAATATTCTTGATTTAGTTAGGGATATTTATGAAGAAGATCAGCCCGTCTGTTGCATGCTGCATATACTCAGTATATTAATTAAGTAGCTGTATAGCTATAAACTATATATCTATAAACTATATAGTGTGTTCACCTTGCCTCCCCTGCCCCCATTATAGGTACACGACGCCCTGCAGACCTCGTTGAGGACATTATCTGACCTGTGTCATGCCAAAATATGTACGCTGCTAAAATAGATACTCTTTTTATTATGTTTATTTGCACTAGCGTGTAAAATTAAAATCATTCTCATGCCACCCGTTCGTTTTCACTTCCCTAAGGTCATTATTAACATTATCCTTATGTTTTGAAAAAAAGTTTGCCAAACTAGCTCACATTTTGCTGCTTAACATTCTTGTTAATCGCCAGGTGTGCCTGATTTTTCACGTGCTGTCATTATCTGCATTTCACTTGGGGTGATAGCCCGTTGCACTGCTGCGTTTCCGATCTCATTCTTTCAGGTTGCGATACACAGTGCACTGAATAACGCTTTCCGTAACCTTACTGAACTGAAAGATTTTTTCTACAATAACAATAAAGGCATGATTTCAAGTTTGGAGGTAGAACACAGGAAAAGTATACGTCTTTCGTAATGAATAAATGATTCCCTCGCTCCCCCCTCCCCCCTCCTCCCCAACCGATGTTACAAGCCAACAAGAATAAAGGGAGGTTATATGGTGTATTCTCAATAAACAATGTAGCGAGCGGATATAAAAGAAGCAAATCGTAGGATTTTAAACACACTTCTCGTTGAACTTATCTGAAGACAAGCAAATAATTATATGATATACGTAAATAAAAGTGCTACCGCATCACGATTTTTCGTGCTACAGATTTGTTTGTACAAAAACATGTAGCATAATGTATATATGTGAGTTGCATGTGTGTGTGTGTGTGTGTGTGTGTGTGTGTGTGGGTGCGTTTGTTTTAGTACATACTTCTTTCAATAACATGGTCAATTATATACATTATACATATGCAATTTGACATGATGGATAAACACGCCATCTTCCAGGAACATCTCCTAGCGGCGCCCACACAGAGCCCTGGACATTTGTAGTGGTCAGTAACAAGGGGATAAAAGCTCAAATCCGGCAAATCGTGGAGGCGGAAGAGGAGATAAATTATAGGAAACGCATGGGAAATAAATGGGTGGAGGACTTAAAGAAGTTTAAGGTCAACTGGGAGAAACCTTACCTTGATGTGGCCCCATATCTTATTATAGTGCTGAGACAGGCTTACGGACTCGGTGAGAACGGAGAGAGGAAAACCCACTATTACAACGAGATCAGCGTGTCCATCGCGGTGGGGCTGCTGCTCACGGCCGTTCAGGTAATAACGTCCGTCTGTCTGCATGGTACTGTGAAGAACACGTGAATTTAAATATGTTTAAATTCTGCAAAATTCTCTTTCTGTTAACGTTTGTTTTATATACGATTAATTTATTGGCGAATTAAGCCACACCTCTTTTGTCTTCAGAACGCTGGTCTTGTGACAGTGACCACTACCCCAATGAACGCTGGACCTGCACTGAGCACGCTGCTGGGACGCCCCGTTAATGAGAAGGTGGTGCTGCTGCTACCAGTAGGGTATCCGGCAAAGAACGCCACCGTTCCAGACTTAAAGAGGAAAGAATTAGATAAAATCATGGTACTAGTGGATTAAACATCAGGGGCGGATTTAGGCCGTCTTCTGGGTCTTCCGGAAGACGGTCAGATTTTCAGGTTTACATTGACGGGTATCTAATTTTTTCTGTCGGAAGACGGTCAAAAAAATGGAGGATGGACCAACAAATATAATATGGAAGACTGTCAGAAAATATCTCTGGATCCGCCCCTGAACATCTTTCATTTCTTAATTTACTTCGGGGAAGTCGTTTAATACCACAATTTTAGGTTATTTTAGTATTTGAATTTGAATATTGCTGTTTATTTCTTTGAACATCTATTTACTTCGTATGGAATTGTTAAATTCACCATTGCATTTATCTCTACATATGTATCTTTCAACCAATGTTTTTTCTCTTCGTTTTTTCCTCCTTTTTTGCCTTTCCTTTTCCTTTTCTCTTCTTTTTTCTTTCTTCTTTCCTTCCATTCTTCCTTCCTTCCTTTCTCCCCCCTAATAATAATAATAATCTATTCAGCTTTTATAATTTTAACATTTTAACATTTTTCGCTGTCTAAGCTACTTCTAACACTACCCTATTATGCTTACATCACAAAGGTAGATAATTCTATATAATAAAGGATAAAATATCTATCAAATAAGGAGCGGGGACTCTTTTGTATAGTAACTGAGTTGATTGATATGGCCTCGTTTTAATCTAAAAAGAGGAGAAAGTAATGTAAACGGTGGAGAGCAATGTAAAAGTTTTAACGGAGGGGAAGAAAATGTAGAAAGTGTAGTTAGGAAAATACAATAAAAAATATAAAGGAACACGAAAGTTGCTTAGTTCTTACCTCGCGTAATCAGTGAGATAAAGTCATACCATCATCACACAACTAGAAGAAGACGTCTTTATCCGATTACTATTTGCTTTTGTTACAGGTTACAATATTGTGCTTTTCGACTACAGGGGTATGACGTTTGTGTTAGCAAACATTTCTTATCCTGAGCTTGGACATAATAACATTCCTTTTTATGTCCAAGTCCTGAGCAATCCAGTGACAGAGGAAATACCATGAAATGATTCAAAGTGAAATTTCATTATATTGTGGTGAAAAAAAATGACAGCGACCTAGAAGTGAAGTTAATAATGAATAGAAAATGTGTTGTACACTTAGGTCTTTAAAGTATTAAAACGGGAATTTACCGCTAAGACGAATTTTCCGTGAAAAAAAAAAGCAATTTTCTCTTCACGGATTATTGCTTGACACGTCCCTGCACCTGTATTCGATGTCTTATTCCATTTTTGATTTAATACTTTTAAATGAATGGACAGTCAAAGCAACAAACGACATTGCCTCGTTTTCACACAAGAAAATGGCAAGGTGTTTTGTACCGTGACCCAACCCCTGCGATAATTTGTCTCATTTAACGCTCACTTACGGTTCCTAATCTGTCGTAGAACCCCAGCATTCGGATCACGTGGCTAGCACGTTGCTATGACGTTATAATCTGGTAACAACATTCCAGCCACGTGATCCGAACGTGACGTGTTTGCTGGGACATAATGTTTTCCTCTTTTAATGAAAATGTTCTTAGTATGTTTTAGGACATTCTTAAGGACGGCCCCAGAACAGTTGTCGAACTGTTACATTCATTACAGAACAACAATAGAACTGTAAAAAACTACACCAAATGTTTTAGAATAGATTGAGAACAGTAAGTGAATGTTAAATGAGACAATTTTTCGCAGGTGAATGGCGTGAATAATATAGCCGCTGCAAGCTGGCTATGCCTACCCGAGGAGACTGAGGAGATAATAACAACACGCTTCAGAAAAACTTTCATCTGAAAGGTTTTATTGTCTTTAGAGTCTGATTTAGAAAATATAAGAAGCTTTACAGGATGTGAATATGAAGGTGGTGGGATTTTCAACCACATGGAGCGAACTTTCCGTAGAAATTCATTTTGGCTGGAAAATCCCGTGGAGTTATCCTTTCATTATACTGGCCTTAAAGGTATTAGTTATACCGAAAGAGAGATTAATTTCGATTAAATATAAATAATGCATTTGCTTAATTATATCTTAGAACCAGGTGGAAGTGGTGCTGCGAACTTGACTGCCAAAGGGGAGTTAAACCTACAATGGCACCAATTCATAGTGCACATGGATGAAAAATCATCATTGGATACGCGAGCAATAAACCTCGAATCGGTTTTCCGAACGGTCCCCCATGTCACATAGCGCGCTATTCACACAGGTGGTGCAATCCTTCTGTCACCCCACCTTCGTATCCGACTTCTTTCACGGAATTTTGTCAGCAACAGCTAGCAAGCACAATAATCAGTCGCACTTCCACTCGAGATTATGATGTGACCTATTTTTTTCTATAAAGCTGCCATTTCATACGTGTATTTTTTGGTAACCTTTCTCTTAATTGAGACGGATAAAGATGAACAACCAATAACTATTTTTGCCTTTAAAGTAATCTGAAAGGATTTTGTTTCATAATTGACTAAGAACAAAAAAATGTTTCTTGAGATATCTCTCTTTTACTCACAGTCCAGTATACAGCCCACAACAATTTTAATAGATAGAAAAATACCATGAGCATCTTATTGAAAAGAAAAGTATATCTTCTGATTTTGTTTCACCTATTTTTAGCAAAAAAAGTGGTGTCCTGTGTAAGTAAAAGGGAAATTATATGAGTTTTCTCTCGAACTTTCGAGGTACGACCAAAAATTCTCGGCTCCTTGTACTTTGGCATACCTAGGAATGAAAAGATGGCTATTCCTTTTCAATATAATCTCCCTTCATCTTGATGCACTTTATCCATCGCTGTTCTAATTTACGTATCCCTTCAAAAGTGAAGTCTTCATCCTGGTCCCCCAACTACTAATTTACTGCATCAATGACACCTTCATTGCTTAGTTTTCAAGTTTTGGGAACAGAAGTCAGAAGGGGCTACATCAGAAGAATATGGGGGATGAGGAAGAACTTCGAAGCCGCATTCAGTCGCAGCAGCCCTGGCAACGTGCGACGTGTGAGCAGGTGCATTGTCCTGCAAGAGTACACCCTTCGCGTCTTTACAGAGACTTCCTGGTGTAATAATAATCGTTGGAATTCTATTCCCTCAACCAATGACCTTCAATAATATATAATTATAGACTGATTTGGATCGTCTGCCAATGTATTGAATCAAAGTATATTAGGCCGAGAACTTTTTGATCCTACCTCGTACATTACGTTACACATGTTAATACACTGCGAATAACAAGGGACTTTTATTATACATGTAGTTGTTTCTCATAATGATTCAAAGACACACAACAATAAACAACACAGTCACCAGAAAATGGGAATAAAATAAATCAATCTGTTCTCGTTGGTGTTCAGTTTTCTGCAGTTTATCGACAGGAGATAAAGCATTTAAATGAAATTGTTCTCTACAGTTTGGGAGGAACTATCTCTACGTAGACAGCAATTTGCAATATCGTGAGTTAATGAACTAAGCCTTTTCCTAAACACGTAGGACCTCAGTGTATATATGTAAGGATTAGAGCATGTATTAATAAATCTAAATGAACATGCAAATACACTGATAATATACTGATTTATATCAAGATTTGACGATTGTGATTTGAATATTATATAAGTGATGAGAAAAGGCAACATACTTATTAAAAATATAGCCAATAAAATTAAACTAGAAAAAATAACTTGTTGGTCTTTCTGTATGATTTTTACGTAGTGCATGTCCGAACCCATGTGCACCTCCATTACGTCGGTTGTTTCCTGTGCTATAATATCTATAATGTCAGGGTTCTCGTTGCCTCTTGTCCATCGAACTTGAGCATTCGTGTTGTTTTTTCTTTGGGAAAATTGCGATACATCTGTTCGCTGCGAGATGGAACAAGATGGCACTCCTGGCAGTCCCTGGACGTCTCTGGCTGGAATGGTTTCTATTGCGGCTGGCGCATTTCCTGTAGATTTTGGTACATGAGCACAATGACTTTGTTGATCCTGTCGTGAGACACACTCTAAAGGAGTAAAAGTCGGAGAAATTGATTCTTCTGTGTTGCTGCCACCTTCCGCCATAAACGTGTCGGCGACATTTGCAGATACTGTATGTATGCTATGTCCAGTGTAGTAAGGTTTTACCAACTTGCGTTGCTTTAAAATTTTTTTCACGACTGACAAGTAAGATAATATTGTTACTGTAACGCAGATCATCACAAATGTGTAGCCGATTTTAAATAAAACACCAACAGGTTGTTTCCCGTCCTTCAAACATTGCAGGGGGATCACAAATTCACTGTTAGACTCGGAAACAAATGCAAAACATATGATGCCTAGAATCCAATGTGCAGTTAAACATATTTTGAAAATATGCCTTGGGATAGTCAGAGCAGGCTTGTGAAATTTTGCTGCTCGCAGGACACTTATGCTGGCCAAAATAACGATATTCATAAATGTCCCCAGGGCTAAAACACGCCCTACAGAGCAATTGATAGAAAGTGCTGATTCATCCCATGACCAAAGTGTCATAACGAATAACGGGCACCCAACGAAGGACATGAACAGATCCACTAGTGCTAAGTTAATGTGGAATGAATTCCACCATGTTCTCAGAGACGGAGTACTTCTTGTGATGATAAGAACACAAATGTTACCGAACGCTCCAAACACTGCCAATATAGCTGTAAATAAAGTCGCGGTGATGTGTGTCCATCTTGTTTCATCAAAAAATCCTGGCTGATTCCACAAGTTACTGTTTTCTGTTACGTTGTATTCACTGGATGAATTCATCATTATGTATATTGGTAATGGTATGTTTTGCCGTTTTATATACTGGTTTGGCTAAGAAGGAGGACGTCAGTCTAGCCCTGTGAAATACGGATCTCATTCGAAGATTTGTTATCCCTCTAATACGTTTATTGAGCACTAAATGATATGAATACATTTGCAGGCTCTCCAGACTACATTATTCACAACATATATAAGGATATATCACACATTTATATATGTTTTCATATGTAGTATGCAAAATTGCACATTTGTTAATGCATGTTAAGCTATAAGATCAATTATGCTATTCACAGCATTATCATCAATTAGTGGCTGTGATGTACTAAATTGCAGGTGAACTACACACACTGGACAATAGAAGTGTCACCCCTACTGAACCAATACTTTTGGGGGGAGATAAATGACTGTGGAATGATATATTCCTGGTATCATTTTATTAACATCAAATTTCACAAAAAGACCAACAATACAATTCCATGGTACAGCTGTTTTATACTCATTGGTCACATTATATGTAGACCAGGCATTACAACTTTGATTATTCTGATTCAGGGGATGGCACTTAAATTGTGCAGTGTGTGTATGTATTTTAACAGCAGTCTTTACAAATTCTGCTATTACTTTGAGACTTTTTTACAGGGTGGATTAAGGAGAATTGACAATATCTGACCACTGTCCTCTAGACCCACTACATTGATTTTCAAGAGTTCATCATGCATTTGTTGCCTTTCAACATTGTATTTTGTACATTCCGCGAGGAAGTGTTTTCCATCCTCTATGCAGTTGCAAGCTTTACATTTTCTCGCATCAAATGGAGTTTAAGGTTATGTGTATCAGTGTAATAGGCTAGTGGCTTGGGATAAAGGCAATAGTCTTAACGACTGGATTCATTTCGGATTTAAATCTGGGGTTAGTACTGCTTTCTTTAACTTTGAAAAACACCTATGCGATTAAAATCTCGAAAGTTGGAGATTTTCCTGTCAATATCATCAGAAATAAGCATTCTAAGTTTGTCAGCAAAGGGTCAAGAAATCAATATGATAATTGAACAGTGGCGGATTTAGGGGGATGTCAGGGGGGGGTTCTGACCCCCCCACACACACACACCTTCGATTTCTGAAATAAAATCACACCAATGGTCCCCTCTTGAAATTAGAATTTTGATTAGTTGAATTATAGTTCTAAATCGTACCAGATGGCACCGTTCACCCTCTAAATTACCAAAATTTCCAAGGCCCTTCAGCAGGCCCCGAACCTCACGCCAAGGGGACGGGTCGGCTTCGCATCCGTAGGAATATTTTTGTAAAATCTTTCTTCTAATTGCCCATTATTACGCTTGGTAGTTTACTTTATTATTTAATTGAAATTTATCTGCTTATCTCTGTATTTGATATTATTTGAGTACTTTTTTAACAAACCTACTGTCAGTTGACATAACACAGCACAAAATTATGATCTTTTTTTTTAATCACGAAGATGAATAAATTAAAAAAACCAAGACATTTTTAGTAGCTTTATTTATTCGTCATTGCGTTTTCACCTTTTTTTTTCTATGGTTAACAGGAACCCTGTGAAGCTTAACAAATGTTTCTTAAACCCTTTCTACCGAGGTTAACATTGCCCAGCAGATAAAACAATGAAAATATGAAGATTCATACAAGTATTAAAAGATCAAAATAAAGCATTCAGTTTTCCTTATTAGCAAAGCATAAAATTCAATTACACAACTTTTGTGCTACTCTGTAATACAAAAAAAAAAAAAAAAAAAAAAACAATGTCAAAATAATTTAGTAAAATAAAAAAGCTTACCCTACAGACCATGGCAAGAACACCAACTCACCACCCTGAGATTAAAAGTTTGAACCCCCCATCTCTCTTTTTTTTAATAAAAATAACCAAAATAATAAATAAAACAAACTTTCAGGCAAATAGCCACTTCTGTACATAAAAGGGGAAGTTTCAAGACCTTGACACCTGGGGTGATGAGCTCAGGTGGATGGCATTTGCTTGTTTTGAAGTCTTCCATGTTATATGACAAAATGCTGGCATGTTAATTCAACTACCCTGTAGGCTGTAGGCTACTTATCTAAATTGAAGATGAGTTATACAACAAATGATGATAAAAAGCAATGACTATACAGTATTAAGATAAATATATAATATGTAAATATAAAAATGTTGATTTCCTTGGCATTAAGCTAAAACAGTATAAAACCATGCACTTTAAGTGTCTTTTACTGTATCAAAACCCTGTTTTGATTAATTGTATAATACCTTTCTTAGGCTTGCGATGTTATATACTTTTACTCTGTTACATTTGTATTGCAATAAATTTAGTAAAGCAATTATAATATATTTTATCAAAATCAGTTTTGATTTAACTATGATATATGAAATATTAAAAGACTTAAGAATGAAAAATATGCTGTTGTTATAACATTACATGACATGTATCAATACAATGTATTATGTTTTCAAGCACAAAAGAGTATTTTTTTTTCAAATGCAACTTAATTTCAGTTCTTAAGATACAAAGAAGACCATGCACTATCCTCTTTTAGATTCACTACAAAATCATCACTATGACTTACATATTTGCAATGGTATGTACACTGATTTTCTTTTAAAATATATCATTTTAACATATTATTATAAGTGACTAGATCCTACATAAGTAATGATTATTTACCCGATTGTCTGACTTAAAGATCTATTGCAATAAATATGGTCATGGAACCCACAGAGCCCAGCAGGGAAGACCACATGGAACTGACATCAATATGACAGAGAAAATAATTTTGTGACAAAACTGCACGAGAGTTCAGGGCTGCCAACATTACAGTACTCAAAATGCGTAGTTCTATTGTTAAACATGTTATTAACAGTACAATAACACCTGAAAACAAAAGGAATTGATACTAAACAATACAGTGTATAATACAGGGGAATATGTAGAGTTGGCAACCCTGTATTTATGCACCTTGAAAGTTTGACTATTATATGCTGTGATTATGGTTTTTTCTATTTTTTTAAAGAATTATATACAATTTTAGATATTTCAATACCATTAAAAAGCCATCTCATCAAAAATATTAGAACAGATATCAAATCAACCATTTTGCTTTTATTTTACTCCCTCTGTTGTCAAGTGGACTTTTTCATATTGGTTTGCCCACTGGTTACTTGAAAGGCTTTAGGTATAACCCTGATCCAGTGTTCATCATCTCTCTTCAATTCTTGTTACCAAACACATTATGGCCAACATTGCTCTGAAAGGGAAAATAAAAAACCATCAATATTTCAAATATTTGCATACATGTATGTTTATATCTTATCTTTCTCTAAATATTCACCCCCCCTCCCCCTGAATTAAAAAAAAAAAAAGGTGACTAATACTTTGCCAAAGGTGGCTGCTTTTCTCTAGGGACCCCTATGACATCTTTTTTTTATTTTATAGAACTTACTGACAAGAAAATAAAAATGGTTATCGAAATGGCTGATTACACCAGTCAAGGCTATGCCATGACCTCAATTGATAACCAGTTACACGCTATCAAATGTTGTGAGGTTGCAAGGGCAAAACTTGATAATTGTAGCAGAAGGTATAAGATCAAGAGTGTTTACTTGTTATAATGCTCAATCTACAGGTAACCTAAAACATACTTTATGTTACTAATGGTTATCCAGTAACCTATTTTTTTTTAAAATCTATTTCTTTTGTATCTTTGAGTTTTCAAACATCCAGTTTTGAAATATTGAGGTACACATATTTTCTGTCTTTTTCTTTATTTACCATGTATAAGATTTGTACTCCTCAATACACAAAATATATGATATCAAAACAATAGATGTCAGCACTGTTCAACTGAACTCACCATTTTCCCAGAAGTGCCAGCAGCATTGTCTTGTACTCTCCTCCACAGTCGCCCTCTATACTCTGTGCCAAGCTGACTCCATAGAGTTCTGCATACTTTTGCTTTATCTCAGCCAGGTCAATCTATGTGAAAAATGTTAGAGGGTGACAATTTAAGTCTGTGGCAAAAAAAATAAAAAAAATAAAATAAAATAAAATAAAATAAAAAATAAAAATAAAAATAATAATAATAATAATAATAATAATAAATCAGTCTTGGAGACACCTGGGTCTAAGAATCTACTAGCCATACCAGGAACAGTAGTCATAAACTGAGAAAAAATAACAATATTTAACTTAACAGCATAAGGTTATGAAATCTATGTGAAAAAGAACATTTTTTTAAGGTGGAAAATTTTTACCTTACATAAATTGTAACTCTTACAAATAAATTGTGTACAAATATGAATATACATGCAATTGTGAATGATTCAGTTTCTGCTATTTTCATCATTGAAAGTATGAAAGGTTTAAGCACAATTTACCTCTGATCTGGAGACTATAATTCTGATCAGCATTTTATCATTGGTCCCAGCGCTATCTGACAAAGCTGAATGCAAACGTTCGGCATAGAACTGTATGGGGTCACTCAGTGCACAAGCTGTAAAACAAACAAAAAACAAGAGCTTAAAAAAGTTAAACAAAATAATGAACAAACATACAGATAAGTTCAAAACTGAAAAGGCATCCAAACATAAAAAATAAATATACAAATAAAAATATTGAAAATACTAGCATTTACCACAATTTAAATTTTAATAGCTCAATAATTATGTATTTCATTTAGAAAAAAAACATGAAAATGTAGCTTTTTCAAATGCANTTAAAAAGCCATCTCATCAAAAATATTAGAACAGATATCAAATCAACCATTTTGCTTTTATTTTACTCCCTCTGTTGTCAAGTGGACTTTTTCATATTGGTTTGCCCACTGGTTACTTGAAAGGCTTTAGGTATAACCCTGATCCAGTGTTCATCATCTCTCTTCAATTCTTGTTACCAAACACATTATGGCCAACATTGCTCTGAAAGGGAAAATAAAAAACCATCAATATTTCAAATATTTGCATACATGTATGTTTATATCTTATCTTTCTCTAAATATTCACCCCCCCTCCCCCTGAATTAAAAAAAAAAAAAGGTGACTAATACTTTGCCAAAGGTGGCTGCTTTTCTCTAGGGACCCCTATGACATCTTTTTTTTATTTTATAGAACTTACTGACAAGAAAATAAAAATGGTTATCGAAATGGCTGATTACACCAGTCAAGGCTATGCCATGACCTCAATTGATAACCAGTTACACGCTATCAAATGTTGTGAGGTTGCAAGGGCAAAACTTGATAATTGTAGCAGAAGGTATAAGATCAAGAGTGTTTACTTGTTATAATGCTCAATCTACAGGTAACCTAAAACATACTTTATGATCTTAATGGTTATCCAGTAACCTATTTTTTTAAAAAATCTATTTCTTTTGTATCTTTGAGTTTTCAAACATCCAGTTTTGAAATATTGAGGTACACATATTTTCTGTCTTTTTCTTTATTTACCATGTATAAGATTTGTACTCCTCAATACACAAAATATATGATATCAAAACAATAGATGTCAGCACTGTTCAACTGAACTCACCATTTTCCCAGAAGTGCCAGCAGCATTGTCTTGTACTCTCCTCCACAGTCGCCCTCTATACTCTGTGCCAAGCTGACTCCATAGAGTTCTGCATACTTTTGCTTTATCTCAGCCAGGTCAATCTATGTGAAAAATGTTAGAGGGTGACAATTTAAGTCTGTGGCAAAAAAAATAAAAAAAATAAAATAAAATAAAATAAAATAAAAATAAAAATAAAAATAATAATAATAATAATAATAATAATAAATCAGTCTTGGAGACACCTGGGTCTAAGAATCTACTAGCCATACCAGGAACAGTAGTCATAAACTGAGAAAAAATAACAATATTTAACTTAACAGCATAAGGTTATGAAATCTATGTGAAAAAGAACATTTTTTTAAGGTGGAAAATTTTTACCTTACATAAATTGTAACTCTTACAAATAAATTGTGTACAAATATGAATATACATGCAATTGTGAATGATTCAGTTTCTGCTATTTTCATCATTGAAAGTATGAAAGGTTTAAGCACAATTTACCTCTGATCTGGAGACTATAATTCTGATCAGCATTTTATCATTGGTCCCAGCGCTATCTGACAAAGCTGAATGCAAACGTTCGGCATAGAACTGTATGGGGTCACTCAGTGCACAAGCTGTAAAACAAACAAAAAACAAGAGCTTAAAAAAGTTAAACAAAATAATGAACAAACATACAGATAAGTTCAAAACTGAAAAGGCATCCAAACATAAAAAATAAATATACAAATAAAAATATTGAAAATACTAGCATTTACCACAATTTAAATTTTAATAGCTCAATAATTATGTATTTCATTTAGAAAAAAAACATGAAAATGTAGCTTTTTCAAATGCAGGGCTCACCTAACGCAATGTAGCCCTCAATGATCTCACGGCAATGCTCACCTAACGCAATGTAGCCTTCCTCAGCATCCCCCACCATTGCTTTTTTAATACCCTCTGTTATGTCATGGCCTGTTAACTTCTTGTAGGCAGCAAAGGTGGCCCGAACCTGAGCACGACTTCTCTTTGTCAAAACGTTCCTGAAGTTGGCATCTGACAGATCAAGTGTGGACTCTGCTTCCTGTTGTAAAACAACATGATAACTATTAAATGTGGATTCTTGCATAGGATATCCAAGCCTGCTTGGGATTTCTTCTACCCTCCACCCCCCCTCCTGCCCCATCTTTAAGCTCTGAGCTTAGCATTTCTGTAATGTTATTTTCATTTGGGTTTCTGATTTTAAAAAGTTAAGTAAGATTTTAAGGTTCAATTATGCCTAACAAAATGAAATTACCATCAACCCCTATCTCACAAACTTACACAATTCTCCCACAGAGAGTGCATTCCATCAAGCAGGTAATCTAAATCATAGTACCAATTGACTATCTATCAAAAAATATAAAACATTTCCTGTGACTCACTTACTTACTACATTATTTATAAATCATATCTACAGGCTCATACATGATCTGTACCTTGTAAAGTAATGCTGCATCCTTCTCTGCCAGTGTCTGGTCAACTTTATTGCTCTGATCTCTCTCAGCCTCCAACAGTTCAAGCAGCAGTGTCTGGAAGCCTCCACTTGTGTCATCTGCTATGACAGAACTCGGCTCTTTGCCATAAGCTGAAAGGGAAACAACTGTGAAATGAGCTCTGTGTCTATCTATATTCATCATATTTTTTCTAAGTCATCATATTTTCTCTAAGACTGGTTTATTATGAAGCGTAAATGTGAGAATTAAGCTCTTCCTATACTATCTGTATGACAAGTATAATAAAGGTGAATAAACAAAATTCTGATGCAGGATTGTTATTGAGGAGTTTTATTTAAAATTATCACATCTAATACATGAAATGTGAAGAGGTATCATGAGCCCTTGTTTAGGTGTCTCTGTAAATCTTCGGAATGCCAACCCTCTCAAAAGATTGCCTTCATTCCTTACCTTTCTTGTACTGTGCCTTGATGGCATGTAATTGTTTGGGACTCCTAGTGGACAGGATACCTATCAGTACAGCTTCCCTGGTCCCCAGCCCCTCCACCGCATCATGAAGACAGAAAGCGTCAAACTCTATAGGTGTTTGTAGTAAACCCTGCACGACTTCCTCAAGATCTCCCGTCAACTCCCAGTTTAGTTCTTCAATCAAATTCTGAAAAAAAGAAATTTATAACAATATAGCTTTCCCTTTTTATTTATCATAACATTTTTGAAGATGTCAGCCATTAGTCTGAAGCAACAGATTATAGATTTGGTGTCAGATTATAAGAAAAGTTGAAATTTCTCAGATACAAGTCTGATCAGGAATAGTGATTAATTTCCTGGTTGTACAAGATTATTTTGCCATCGTCCTCCACCTAGTAAATGTCAAATTTGACTTGTCTAGTAATTTCCTGAGGCATGCTAATCCCACAGTTTTTCCAGTGCTTACCTTCTTATATTTCTCTTGATATTTTTTCCTAATTTGCTGCCTTTGTTCATTGCTCCTGGATGACAGGATGTCTATTAATGGTTTCTCATCTGTTCCAAATCCCACCACAGCCTCTCTTATCGCCTCCACATCTCTCAACACATCAAAATTTTCATATGGATGAACTGTACCACGGTGATCAGACCCAGCCTTAGAATTGGGAGAACCAGACTGACTTTTCTTGTCTTTGTGACCCTTATCCACATGTTCCTTTTTGCTTTTGCTGTGGTCTTTTGTAGTTTTACCATGAGGAGGGTTACCCTTGATGCTGGACTCCTTTTTGTGATCTGCACCACGTTTAGAGTGTGGGATCTTTTTCTGGGGTACTGCTGCTGTGGCGACCATGGCAAATTTTCTGAATTTGGCAAGTGCAGCCTAATGGACAGAAAAAACGTTTCAAGACCCTTAGCAATCACATGTATGCTTCCAAATCCACTTATATAGTTATATAAATATGATTTACTTCTATAATAAATGTTAAAATTTACTATAACATCTTCAACTTTTAACAGATTATTAAAATAAACACACCGTGTCCACCTATTAATATTGAAAATTGAATATAGCAAGTGAAATTGCAAAGATGTAGAGGAAGATGGATAAGACAACAAGTTTAAATATAACACAAATTAATGGAGAAATAAGTTAGCACACATAAACAGTGCATGTTAATAATCACTATCTACCTTTCCGTGAGGTGTCAGGCGAGTTGCGAGCTCCAGTAAAAGTTTGACTGCCTCTCCCTTACAGCGGTACTTAATGTCATCTACCAACTCCACACTGTACTTCTTTTTGTACAGTTTACGAATAGCAGGCATGTCAACCTGGACAAAAATAAAGTGATATGTATTCAGATTAAAGTTCCATCAGTGTTTACCAATCAATCATAACTAACATTTTTTTCTCAATTTATAACATAAGCTTAGTGCATTTAAATATTTATAGAAGTTCTAACAAGGCTAATTAAAAAAAAATTTTCTTTCAATTTATTCAACACACCATGCAGCCAGAAAATGATTTTCAATATCATCAATAAATCATCATTGGTGTTTATAATTTTGTTTTCATTTTTTAATCAAAATATTTTTATGCGTTTATAATTTAATGGAAATTATGATTATTCCAATTTTTCAAAGAATTTTTAAAAAAATTATGCATGCAGTACATATTTCACAAGAACTTCTGACCAGTCTTTTAATTTCTAGCTTCTTATCAAAAAAAGTAGCACACGTCACAATCATACTTCTTGTCGGTAAAGTATTTTCACTTACAAGCAAACAATTTCAGAGAAGTAAATTGTCAATTACTCACATCAGCCCTGTCCAAGAGCATTCTAATAAATTCTGGATCTTTGTGACTCATCTGATCATGTAGTCTTTCAACATAAAAGGCATGAGGTGTTCTCAGGAGAGTGGCTGGAATATAACATGGCACATATAAGAGAGAGAGAGAGAGAGAGAGAGAGGAGAGAGCGAGAGAGAGCGAGAGAGATTCACTTTCTGAAAGAAAAAATCTCCAGTTTTCTCTTTTATAAACTATCTTCAAATTTTAAATGAAATTACACTCTTAAAAATTCAATTCATTAGATCAAATTATAGCTATAAATCAGTGAACCTTACAGTGTACTAATAATACATGATATGATTTTACAGATGAATAACTCATATCACAAGTTTCATTATTATACTGCTAAGCTTACCCAGTGTTTTCACAGCAGTGGTGAAGTCTGTGTCTCCACAATCACTGGCCACAGTATCAGTAAGGTCCTTCTCCCCTGTCACCTGTATAAACACACGGGAATGGTCAGGGACAGCATGAACTAAAAGCACTGCCAATATTACAGTACTCAGAATGTGTAGATCTATTGCTATTTGAGGTAAGATTTAAAGATTAAAAATCACAAGTTTCCTTTTTATAAATTGTAATATTTAGCAAGATTTCTTACATTTTTGTAGGCATGCAGTGTGGCCCGTATCTGGTGCAGACTTCTCTCTCCCAGTAACTTCATGAACTTGCCATTGTCGTTCAGCCAGCGACCATCACCAGACTAAAGAAAAATATAGAAAAAAAATATAAAATGTTAAGGAAAAAAAGGTTATCCTTTCACCTCCACCCATCTCCTGTGTCTACATATATAACATATCTGTGGTAGGGATTGGGTAAAAGTTTTCAAGGTGAAGTTGAGGTGATAAAGAATATGGAAAATCAAATCAAAAAGATGAAGACCAAGAAAAAGTATCAGGAGAGAGAGGAAACATTGCAAAAAATAAAATGTGAAAATTTCTCCTGTGGTATTAATTTATAATTCTGATCAAAGTGAAGAAAATATAAATTGTGAGATCATTTCATTTCAAATGTGAATGGTGCCATTTTTCCACAGAAAGCACAATAAGCTATACGCAACACACAGCCATACACAAACATCACTAAAGATCTAACACTTTTATTCTAGTACATGTATGTGAACTAAATATGTTCACCACACAGTGACATAATACAAGGCGTACCTTAAGTCTGGACACATAGATAAAATGCATATTTTAAATACAAAAATCTCATCCTTATCTAATTAAGATATTAATAAATAAACTATAGCATGGCTATTCCTATGTGTCCAGATTTTAAAGACCCTGAGTATAAATATATATCTATAAGAGCAAAAACCACACATATCCTACCTGCTGGTCTGCTGACATCTCAATATAGGAGGCAGTGTTCTCACCAAAACTTACAACAGTCAACTGAAAATACAGTTTTACATACAGCACTGACTATGTAGCAATAACAACATCTACAGCAACAACAACAGCCACAATTATAAAGATCCTGACAACAATGCAATGTCACAAAAAGGATCCATAAAGCAATCATGCCATATCAAAAACAACAAATAAACAAAAAGACAAACAAACAAACACCAATGCTTAGGCATTTCAGAATTAATCAATGAATGAAGAAAGGCAATATGCAATCAGCAAAAAGTTAAATTTTTGAAATTCAAGCAAAAATCTCAGGTACAGGTGCTATCTATTTTGATACCTATTCTACTATTAATATTCCTAACACACTAACAAAAATAGCCTAAAAAAATACACAAAAATTAAAATGAATCATTTTGCAACTTTTCTCTTTTAAACAGATCATAATGTAAATATTACGCTTAGTAACAAGTGATAAAATATAAGCTAGACTGATTTACTTCCCCATACTGACAATGTGTAATCACTGCTTTTTCTATTTCATATCTGTGACTTAATCATGGTAAATCTTAAGCATGCTCAATACCAATGCTAGGAAATAAAGTAATGTTTTCTTTAATTACTTCCAAATACAACCTAGACATACGCATTAATTATCATACGTCAGAAGTCATAATTCATGATTTAGCGTCTTGAAGTCTTTGACAATATCCACTGAAAGACATGCCATAATTCTAGACAGCAAGCACATGCACCTAGACAAGGCAAGATGTGTTACAAACTCTCTAAGTCTGTTTTCTGCCCATTACATATATACTACATGCAAAACTACGGTTGTGTTTACCTCGTGCAGTTCATTTGCATCGTTAAGAGCCAAATCATCATCAACAGCTTCGGATTCATTGCGCCCCTCCTGAAGAGAGTTGAAAAAAATTAATTTTTCATAACCTTGGTATATAATATAAAAGAAATAAAAAATAAATATAAAATATTTTAAATAATTCATTAAACATATTTTAAGGTGGCAAACAATTACCATAAAATCGTAGAGAGAATCAACAGAAATTTATGTTTTTTCTGGTAATCATTATTTTCAACACATTGCCTGTTAATTGTTGTGTAAATTGTGACCTTTTACTTATCACTTACTTTTGATAGAGTAAGTAAAAACAGCTGAACATGTTTATCAAAGGAGTCTTTGATGTCCTCTTCCACTGTTTTGTCATATTCTGAAACCATGAATAAAATGTTAATCAATTTCTACCAAATTGTTTTTTGCTTATTATAATTTTCTGGAATCAAACACTAAAACAAACAATAACTTGAAACAAAAAGCACTGCCAAGTGAAGTTTAAATAAAAATAACAAGGTTAAAATGTCAGCTTCCTTGTTCACAAGAAAATATTAGTAAAAGCATTACCATGTCCAGTGTCAAGTAATAGCAAAAAATTACAGCAAGTAAAATGTTACTGTCTTATACAGTTCCAGAGCACACTTACTTTTCCTATATGTTTCTCTCAGAGCACTCAGCTCTGCATTACTTCTCATCACCATCATCTCTACAACACCTCCAACATCTTTGGTCTGTTAAGGGAAAAGAAAAAAAATGAAATATAAAAATTACAGACTTACAGAAAGAATCTGGACCTATAATTTAGAGTTGATGATATTTGTACATGCAATTCTAAAAACCCGGTAAATAGCCATTTTCCCCTAAAAAATGGGAAAAAAACATCAACTTACTGCAATTCGTTTGTTCAGAGTTTCAGCATCTGCAGCGTCTTGTTCAGTGAGTAAGACATCAATCATGAGATAATATGCACTGCCCATCAGAGCCTTCAGCTCACCCTCAAGATCCTTGAAAGAAAATACACAATACTTCAACAGAGGTACTGAAACTTTGCTGCTTTACTGCTACTCTTAAAGCTTACTTACTTATCTTCAGACAAAGTACATGTAATCAATCAGAAGTCCTGCTGATATTAACTGTACTAAAAAAGCTCTAAAGGAAACAGGCCTTATTTCTTTCAACTTTACACATACAAAGTAACCCAGGCTCTTGCTCTCTAAGGAATGCAAAGTCATTAAACTTAGCAGAAAATCTAAAAATCTGATCTCTAAATCCACTTACCAAGTCATAGTTGGCTCTAAATTTATTTTTCACAATATTTCTATGTCCACAGGTTCTCCTCAACATTGTCTTTATCATTACTTCATCACCATTTTCTGAAGAAAATCAAAGAACTATTAAAAGAGGAAAATTATAAAAATGTTCAACTACTTGTGTAAGAAGAAATAAAATGGCAGAACAGAAACTAATGGAGAGATGAAATGAAGAGTTGAATATCAAGATGGATGGCATGGGAGACACTGAACCTGCCTCGTGGCAGACAATCAAGACAGAGAGAGTCAAATATGTATTGCATTTGTATTTTATAATTGTTATATCTAGTTATTCTACAATAATTTCTAAAGGCTGCTGAAAAGTACTTACCAAGACCCTTAATGGCCCTGAATAAAAGTTTTGCATCTTCTTCAACAGGAGAATCAACCTACAAGACATCAAAGTTTTACTACATGTAAATAATTTAAAAATGGAATCTTGCTGAGACTGTCCAAACTCCTTCAGAAATTCAATTTCCAATAAAGAGTGCACACTCTTGTACTGTGTTACAAATGAATTCATTTTTTAATGTCACTTTCAATCTTTACATAATTTTGACTACTACCAACCTGTGCCCCTTTCTGTAGATAGTCATATGCAAAAATATTTTTCACTCACAAAATGTTCATTCAAATAAACTGAAGTGCAATCAACTGTGTTTTAGCACTTCATCTTTAAACATACCTTTTCCTTTGCTTCCCCAGTCAACCTTGGCAATTTTGGCACTGACGATTCTTTTAGAGAGTCTTGCTTTGAATGTGTCCTTCTTGAAGTAGCTCTCTGTTCATAAAAGAGGAGTGAAGAAATATATAAATACATCTTTTTTTACCCTTTTACTGGATTTAAAATGGAGATGACCTTGCAGCTTCATCACTAGCACTACGTGTACTCTATTCATCTGTGACCAACAGATGTCATCATGATGAGGATGTAATGACTTTTTGGAAATCCAGTGAAAAATTTTTTAGAAAAACATTCCATATATATTAAAAATCCATTTTAGTAACTACCTTACTATATTACAGAAAAACAAGATGAAACAATGTTATGTATTGGAATACCAAAATAATACTGTACATATGTTACAAGACAAAAAAGATGTTTCTTACTGATGATGGAAAGTCAGATCCTGCTACTGATTCCTCCTCCTTAAAAAAAATAAATATGAAAATTTTACATATAATTAAACTGGTGAAGTCCAGATTAAAAAAGGGATAATAAAGGCATTTCTTTAGGCAGTCACTAACTCTTAATCCATCTCTCTTTAGGAACCCAGCAAATTTTGAATATCTACAAGGTAACAGAATAAGCCCAGCCAGAGATCCAAGACTTACTAGACTTCTTCGTGGACTCTTCCTGGGGGTAAGGCCTGGAGCGTAGTCCTTAGTGGTATGATTGATCATACCCAAGAGGTAGTTGTGCTTTTTGTCTTCTTCCTCCTACAATAATAACAGTATAAGTGGTAAAGTTGACATAATCTTACTATAAAAAAAATTGTTTTAATTTTGTCTTCAATACAGCAACCTTTTTAATCATCAAATACTTTTAGTATGATATTTTTTCTTTTGCTTTTAATGACATCCATCACAAAAAGCTGCTCCTCATTTAGACTTATTAATCATATTTTGCTACAACAAGTAAAGCAAAGTGAAAGGCACTGCAACTCACCCATTTTGCAATATTGTACACTGGTTTCACTTCATTCAGGCTCTTGGCTATTCTTATATTTTCATTGGCTATCTTCTGTTGTTCTCTATCTCGCATTCCTCGGTTTAAGCTTTAATATAAAAAATAAAATAAGATTATTCTTGGCATATCTAAGCATTTGTCATGATCTATGGTCCCAAGCAAAAGTAGGGAGGCACACATAATTATTGACAACAGACATTTTTAAATGCTTAAAAGTTTATTATCATTAAAAGAGATAAATTAGTGAAAGAAGATATCTCCTATCATAAATATTGTATATTTTGAAAAACAGTTTTAACCTTGCTGTTTTTAAAAAACAATCTAAATACTTATCTACAGCCATACTTTTTAACAGCACTATTCTTCTAAAATCAAATAAATAAATTACAAGTCTACTTGTAAAACTGATGCTAAAGATTTTCTTTCTTTTAATCAAACATTCCCATAATTGAAATGGAACATGCCATACTTCAAAAAAAGACCCATTTGCCCTTCCTATTAAGTGTGATAAATGACATGGCCCCACAGAAGGTTTTGAAATTAAATAATGGGTGTTGGAGATTGACATAACACATGTAAATAGCATAGTGCACAGTAGGTTTTTCGTCCATGTCTTGTAAGGTCATTTAGCTGTGGTACTTACTGCAACATTTTATCCCTGCAGCATTAAAAAATAAGCAAAGTACTAGAGACACCATAAGGCAATGAAATTATGTGATATGCACTAATGCAAAGTAAGAGTGTATGTCACATATAGTGTTGTTTCTGACTTACAACATGACAGATATTGATAACAAAAGACCTAGATATTGTACCTCACATTCACATACATACATACATGTAATATATTGGATTTTTTGCAGTTAAACAGTTTTCCAGTTATGCTTTTAATCCATACAAAAAAGGTTTATTCTATATATCGATTTAACTGCTAATTTTTCCAATTTTTCCAAACTTATTATCATTTATCTAAAGTTTCTGAAACTGAACAATATGATATGTCATTAACAGACACTTTGAGATGCTAAACATTCACGTTAGTGTACAACAAATAAATAAATAAATAAACAAATAAATAAAAATTGCTTAAACATTATCCAACTAACCTCTTGGACTCGTAATCGTTCCAATTATCCAGGCGCCCCCTACTGGTCATAATCCAGGACATTTTCTGGAGAAGGAGTTCATTATCGTTGTCTATCTTCGCCTGGCGATCTTCTTCAAGCTGTGTGTAAACAATACGTCATAGCATACCATCAACAGGAATAAATATGTGGAAAGTCCAGATAATATGTATTAATGAACTCCTGTGCAGTATCAGATGTCACACTATCTGACTATTAGAAACAATTGATTCTTTTCATTGTGTTCTGCAAATTACATTTATCCTTTCTGAATGTGTTCTATTCCATATAAATCAATACATCATGTACTGTATTTATAAACAGAGCACCTAAAACAAGAACCAAAAAACGAACTCATGATTACTAAAGGGCTTTTAGCTGTCAGATACAAATTTTGATAACTATATATGATAAATAATGTAAGTTTTTAGTCTGTACCTGTACTTTCTTTAGTCTGAGGGTCAGGTGAGGTTGTTTCTTTGGAGGAGTGGTATCAAGACCAGATTTCATAGAGTGCATCTGGAATGAAAAAATTGCATTGCAGTGTGATATAAGTGCAAAAAAGATATTAGTTTTGGCTGAATTAAAGCAAAATTCAAAATATTCAGTATTGCATGTATAAGTTAATGAAAAATATTACCAGACATTCAATAGAGATAATATACATTCATTATTTTTGAAATTCTCATCTGGAATTACAATGTCAGTAAACAGCATCAATTACATGGTAATAATCTATGACATTGCCACGGTGAGTCAGATATATACAGATTCAATCAAAGTGTGTACATGTATTTGAAAAAGTATGTTTATTTTTTTTTCTGACAAGCACCATTCATATATCCTTCAATAGACTCCTTTGGTTATGTTATCTTGTAACCTCAAAAAGCGTTTTAAAAAACCTTATAATGTAAATAATTTCTGATATACCCCCCTTCCTGTCATGTTGAAGATATAGTATTTCTTACACAGACAGCAAAGCTTTATGCCATTTTATGAATTTACTCATATAAATTACTAAAACTTGATCTTTTCAATGGCATAAAGCTTTATGCCATTTTATGAATTTACTCATATAAATTACTGAAACTTGATCTTTTCAATGGGGGAAAAAATTGCGAATTTCTTAAAATTAGAACATTCTAATTGAGTGGTAACTTAAAAAAAGGTTACTCTTCTATTCTATTCAATGTAGTAAAAGCACCACAAATGCTATAAAATTATGTATCTGAAAGTTTGATCATTTTTTCCCCATTCAAAGACATACAATTACTGTAAAAAACTTAATATAGTCAGCACTTGTGACTGCGCATACTACCACAGTGCACTGAATACTTTTATTACACCAATAATCCCCAATTCATTAACTGCTGCACAGAAACAAGAGTCTTTCCATCTTTAAGCATGAGAAACTCTACATCAGCTTTTCCTGTACAGAACAACACTGAAGTGCCATCTGATATGGATTAGTGCCGATCGATCAATAGGAAACTTCCTTTTTTTATTCAGGAAATGTATATACTTATATGATTTATGTAGTTTAATAATACATTTTTGATGTTTTGGAAAACAAAGATCTAAAAAGGAAGCAGTGATGATTAAACATCAAGCATTTCTGGCATAGTTTTACTGTTTTTTGATAGCTTTACAGTAACTATAAACTGACGCCTTATTTTTTCAACCACCTAATTTCACTGCTATGAAAATGCCAGATTATAAATGAACAACATGTAGCCCAATATTAATATTCTAATAAGACCATGTGAATTTTTCACTTTACTGGACATGGTAATGTGACCTTATGTACAAGTATAAGTTGTGAAGTTAAGAAAATTGCCCTTTGTGTTGTTTGCCATACAAATAGGTCCCTATTAAGTCGATTAATTCAATAAAACAGTCTGCTATTTAAATTGGTGATTTTTCACTAGCAGAGGTTTCTATTGAAAAGTTGGCCATTTGCAAATGTCTACAAATTTCTATTTGACCCCACATTCAATACACAGCACTTTATTAGACTTGTTCGTTTGATTTGTGCATTAGCTAACAGCTTGTGCTTGGGTAGGCAAGGGCTGAGCAAACCTAGCACACAAGCACTTGAATGTGCTAAAATCCCTGATCAAACCCTCCTTCTACTCATAATCATGTCCTCAAAATGAATTTAAAATGGGTTTCAACACACCTTTGAAGGCTTTATTATGCAATTAAGTTCATTGCTTTGGGAAGTTTACAGATTAAACCACAAAATGATATGACTGATATACAAATAAACCTGTCAATCAAAGAAGGATTTTTAAAATGAGCTCTGAATAGCTACATACATATGTGCTAGCTTAAAAGACTTTTATCTATCAAAGAAATTTATACATGCCAAACATATTGCATGCAACATGGGCTTTTAACCGAGTTGCTTTAAGCAAAATATTTACTGCATATCTGCATTCATTTCACTATGGTACCTAAGAGGCATGTAACTACCAGGGCCACAGATTGATTTTTTTCATTATATATTCACAGATATGTCCCTAGTTAAATGATGGAACTTTTCTGCACTCACATTAGACAAAAAAATCCCAAAACAATCTGTGACCCTAGTAGAATGTACATGGACACAGAGGTTGACAGTACTAAACATTTCATTTCACCTACTTTCATATGAATACATTTTCATATAGTATAATTTTTTCATGTGGAAGGCCTTTCCCGGAAAGCCCCTAAAGAATTCTAAAAGCACTGAGGACCCACTGTTCATTTGACCGCTGTGTTTTCTGTCCTCCACCTTTTGTCTTGTGTTGTTGGCACATACATATTTAAAAGTTTCCCAAATTATTTAGAGTGCATTAATTAAACATACCTTGTCCATGTGACTTTTGTACTTTCTGTCCTCCCATTTTTTCTGTAGTAGTTTGCTGGGAACGGCAAAACCAGGCCCTTGCCGTGGCATGGCGAGACCTGACGTCAGCGGCATCAGAACTGAAGACTTTAATATTCCTCCCAACAGCCACCTGTAAGGAGAATTAGGGATGTTAACATTTACATGTGTGTTTTATCTATATTTAACTAAAAAGCACACAGAATCTCTCTCTCTCTCTGCATGTATGTGAGGGTGAACAGGCATGTGACTGTGTGCAATACGTTTCAATTACAAGAATGTATGATGCATTTTACATCAAAATAGAGCATTTTTTATTGTTTTGCTGATTACAATATAAAGATTTTAATTCAACCACATGATACATTATCTTATTTATTTATGACAGCTTTTCCAATACCCCTCATCAAATGAAACATTCAGTGCAATAAATGAGTGAAATAAAAGGCATAGATAACATTCAGTATGTTTTAAAAATAGAACCTTTATTAAGTGCTAAAGATCTTTAAAAAAAAGGTGTAGACAGCAAGGCAGCAAAGCTCCATAGAGTTATTCAGACAAAGCACGAAATCTCCAATCTGATTTTAACATTCCAGGTACATTACAGTTTAATCAACAAAGTAAGCTACTAGTATTCCCTTCACCATGGCAACAAGGCTTTCGCTTCATTACCACTACCTTTCTCCCAGACTTGGGGTAGAGAGGCGGGGAATGAGGGGTAAATGACACCCTGACTTTGTGACAATATATTTCAACTAAAAAAAAGTAATACATCAAATCAAAAAAGTTAGTTTAAACTCTATTTCTTTTAAGTGATAATTTAACATCAACTTATATTTTAAAATCTATTTGGATTTCAACTTTCTTAAGGTTACCTCAGTGATTTTTATTAAATTCTCCCATTCACTGATTCAGAAATCAAACATAAATTCCAAAAGTGAATGTATGCAACCCTCACCTCCCTCACCATCATGACACAGAATCATGTTGAGTAATCTCATAAGCTTCAGAATGTCACATTACTCTGATTAATGAAAACAGTTTGTGACTTAATGGTGGATACCACACTGGCTCCATATCCAATAACCCATCACATTTTTCAATTACACACAGTATTCAAGGTCACAAATATCAAATTTGGCATGAATCTGGGGCTGCTTTCACAAAGGAAGTTAAGACCAAAATTTAGCTCTTCCTCAATTCAGGATAAATCAACAAAGAAAACACATTCTATTGTAACATTGTAAACTGTAGTTAAAATGATTATTGGGGATATTTTTGTATGGTATAATGCATACTATTATTTAAACACTGTGAATAAAATAGCTACATCATTTGACAGAGCAGTGTAACAAATTCAACATCCCCATGAAAAAAAACGGAAAATTGTAATAAATCTGTTGACTGGATTAAACAAAATTCTCATACAACAAAAAGGCAATATTTGTTGAGGTAAAGCATGTATAACAATAGTCTATAATATGCAATACGTACTTTATTGCCCACTTAAAGGCATCATTATATATTTTGTATTTCTTTGATATTTCAAAATGAAGAAAAAAGAAACATGTCAATTTTGAAAAAAATATATACACTTCCTTTTGAAAAAAGTGTTTTGTTTGATATTGCATTGAATATAAAATATAATGTTAAATTATATATGTCTAATTTTTTTTTATTCAGAACAAAGACTAGCAATTTTTCAAAATTAATAGAAAAGAAAGATACAACTGAAAAATGTTCTTGTGTATTTGTGAATAGCCTACAATTAATATGCATTGGCCCAATAAGTAAAAGTGTACAAAACAGACACCAAATGAATGTCAAATGCACCTTAAGTAGGTTTACCATGATCCTCTAATTATTTTCAATTGCAATTAGATTAATTGGCTTTCGACTATATCAATTTTATCTCTGTAAACAGGCCTCTGGCCATAAATCACAAGTGACAATAATTTATGATATATCATGATAATATGTGCGATAGCAACAAATGAAATAAGGTATATAAATAAAATTAATTGGCTTCAATTTAACTTTTAAGGAACTTTCTAAAATGTGCATACCATTACTTAACGCCTGAAACGCCCCAAAAGTCTAAAAACTTACCAGTTGAAAAAATTGTTAAATCCAAAGAACGGTAATGGACAGAGCTGACCGTTTCCTGCTATGCTATAGCTTAATACTGATACAGTTTACTTTATTCAAGCATTTGAATAGCCACCCGGCTTGTTAAAATAATATTTGACTGCCTAGTTACCGAGCACGCACATGTTTACGAAGTACCAAACTAGACCCAACTTGACTAATACATTAATTTTGTGCAAGAAAAGTTAGCTTACCAGCCTTTTAGCTCCCTTTTGAACTTAGGTATCCGCTCATTATCGCAATTACGGTAGGCAACGACGAACAAAGTTTTCTATTGATCTTGGATAACTTTTCCCTAAACACTGACGTCAGATATATCTAAAATAAGGAATGCAATAAAATTTAAAGGAATTTACTTCATAATATGTTGATCGAAGTATGTATTTATTATGCTTTTTTACCAAAAATATTTTTCGATGACAGCAAATCTGAATTTAATGTTTGTTTTAATTTTTTTATTTGTGCGGTGCTGGTACCATCTTACGGTGTATTCTTTAATTTGCCGTAGAAACTCTTCTGCTTTAAAAGAGCCAAAAGGTGCCCCCTGCTGTCTGCTAAACAAATCACATCCAGAAATTATGCTTAATTTCCAGGACCACGTCATCATACAACAGTATTGAATTTTGAAGTCAGTTCTCCCATCTTCTTTTGGCCCTTTAACATCCAAGTGAGGTTAAAGTTAAGCAAAAACAGCGTTAAATTTACACTACTCTTAGGTGACCTCATTTTAGCATGCGTGACCTCGATATCTTTTGAAGCGTGTGCCGCTTTCTTATCACTCTCTCAAATCAAATATGCAAGTCACCTGTCACAAGTGGCTAAAGTTGCAGCGATGAAGCGGTTGATTAGGACTTCTTATAGCGCCTTTAACACTGATAATTGTTCTTAAGTAGAGATGCTTCTTTAAATGGATGTAAACGTGTATAGCAGGAGAAAGGATCGGGATTCGGAGGAGGAAGACGACCTGGACACAGTAAGCGGAACAGTATTTTATGATAAATAATAGCATAACCAAACAGTCCTACTAATGTATTTTTCTTTAACGACGTAGGCAAGTGCTGTTTGACATGCCACAAGAGAGATCGGTCACCTAAAACATCGGAGTAATTCCAATGTATGTACTAAGGGTACTGTACTGTGCACGCAAGGGCCTGCCGTCACCAGATTCAGCAATGAGAATACTAGTATGCGCAAAACCAATTACATAATTTGATTTTATTTAATACATTTTCAGAGGACCAGTGAGAGAATGAAGTCCCGATCTTTCCTGCCTCGTTATGTAAGTATTCAGGTAGTCCATATTTATTTTTCATTCTTTGCTTTCGGCTTCATATCATGCCAGACATTCCAATATTAGAGTGTAAGGGTAGTACATTGCTGAGAGCCATGTGCTGTACCAATATAATAAAAATATTTCACAGTAGCATGCCCTACAGCTATCCTAGCTCCCATCTGTATGACCTACATGTACATGCATACACCCAGAGCAGATTTTGAGTCCTGATATCACACCAGAAATTATACTGGTCCATAAAAAGTTGGCGTATAATATGACACCAAATATCACAATCCCTACATATAAATAATATACTTAAAAACATGTTCTTGCTTATGTAATTATCTGTGAATTAATGCACAGTTTCTATAAGCACATCTTTGGGGTATTCAAAGTACTGCCATGGCTAATGACCTTTTCTTATGAAAATGGTGAGATACAGACTCATTGACTTAAAAATTATGTATCTTTTTTCCAGTGAGGGGGCCCAAATTGGCCCTCAGGTCAAAAATCTAGTAAAAAAAAAAGTCATTTGTATTGAATGCTAAGTCTAATGAAGCTATTGGATGAATTGTAAGCTTTAAAAAACAAAAAAAGGGAAATATTATTTCATGCTCCAAAGATATCAGTTTGTTTGTGTAAGTGTGTGCTCGGTAACTTAACATTGTGCTTGCTAATCTGAGGTGGGGCTCATTAATATTGGTGTTTGCGCTAGGGAATCTGAGGCTCATGCTCGGAAACGGCAATTATCGTTTATGAGGCCTGGATATATATGTATTATATATACACTTTTGCCTAGGAAATGTCAGTGAAAAATTTAAACTTACTACTAGCAAAAGCTTTCCACATTTATTTGCAGAATGACTCATTTATCAGAGCTGATCTATACATAGATAAAAATACTTATTTTGGTATGTTTCATAACTTTTTTTTTTTCGGTTACAATTTTGACCAAAGAGTAAGAATTATTGTAAAAAAAAAAAAATAATAATAAATAAATAAATAAATAAATAAATAAATAAATAAATAAATAAATAAATAAACTTGGTGAAAAATAATTCTTGCCTATTCATGTACACTGTACATAATCTGTTAAAGTACTTGACATTTATAACAGACTGGTGATAATGCCAAAAACACTTAAAGAATACTTAAAAGTCATAAAGATTTCAATTAATGTCAATTCTAGTAATTTATGAAAAATACTTGGCATAAATGTCTTGAGGATAAACTGTTTACTTCTCATAAAGTTTCACTTAACAAATTCCTTTGACTTTAATACAGACTCTATACACTATGTGTATCTCATTAAATTCAGTTAATTTTATTTTTCAAGCATATATTTGTAAAGGGTGGCAGTACATGCTGAAAAATCAAAACTCAGGATGAGTTTAGATAAAAGGGATAACTACAGATTTTCAATTGCTTATGTATATATATATTTATGATAGTTATCTTTTATTGTAGAGTGCAGATGTTCTCCACCGTCTACAAAGCAAGGGTAAGGGTGGCAATACTATGCTGTACATGGTGGCTGGGATATTTGCCTTTGGGATTTTCCTCACAGTGGTCAACATATATGAACTGAGGAAAGTCCAGGTAGACAGTGGCCCTGGAGAGAAGAGTGACAGTGGCAGGAGAAAGCAGCATGTGGTCTGTGTATGGGGGAAGAATGTAAGTATGAGTATTTTCATCAGGTATTGTGGTTGGAATAGGTGTTTAGTGAAGCCGTGGTGTTTGGTCTGCATTTGGAGTGGAGGGGGGGGGGGGGGGGGGGGGGAGCTCAGGTGGGATTGTTGTTATAGTGTCAGCCTGGGGGAAGGGGATGACCTGGGTTTGGCTCTGTCCAAGATATTATTGACCTCATTATTCCTATGGTGGTTTCCAGTGCCTCATAAAGCAGCTGTGCTGTAACCTCCCCAGGCAGGTGAAAAAATCTACAAACAATCTGAATCAGGGCCCAAAGATACTAATTGTGTGGTAGACGGTGTAGTGGGGAGTAAAGATTATTGTAATGCTGGTTATTGTGAACGGTGCCACATAAGTGTATGTCCAGTAATAGGTTGTATGCACCTCAGGGAGGTGATAATCAAATCTGGAGCTCTATATGCAGAGCCTAAGAGACTAAGTATAAATTCTAAACAAGACTGAACGTATATAGTGAGAATATAACATCAACCTTTAGGCCACACTTTTTTATTTTTATGGATGACATCCTCTGCGGACCCCCAAATCGGTGCGAGAGGGCGAAAAAAAAAAAAAAACAGTCAAAAAAAAAAAAAAAATCTGTTTAAGTAAAAGAATGCTGTCAGTACACAGCTGGAAACACAAATTTACCACAAAACGCGTATCAAACTAACAATATGTCTTTATCCATGCTCTCAGAATATTAAAGCATTATGAACACTTCAGAGAAATGTTTAAAAAATATTAATACTACTAAATCGATTAAAGGTTATTTCAGTCGATGCCATTTTGTCTAATTCGACTCACTCGAAGCAGCCAAACTGTCGGGTGGCCTGTCCGACCTAAGCTTCAGCCCATCAAATACCTCGGCGCCCTTGTCGACCCTTTTTTCGCTACAAAAATACCTGGTATGTGTTGCTTTAGACAGAATGTCACTGAAATTTTCCGGGCGATATTCGCTGGCCACCACCAGCCTTTCGTATAATTGTAAAAGGTTATATCTCCATGCTCAATATCAATGGCATACCAATCCAAAACAACGACCCCTGTTCTCTTTATGGCTTTAATTGTTGTGTAATTTGAAAGTAATCCTAGAGATGAATTTGACGGCAAAGCAGCCATATTTCCATGTGGTGATAATACGCATACGCAGAAAACACATTTTCTGGCAAATTCAATAATGACGTTTGCGACAACCGACTTCGTTGGGGGTATTTTTTTATTTTTATTTTTTTTTTGGAGAATGGACGAAAATCGGTGCACGCGCAGGATGTCATCCATAAAAATAAAAAAGTGTGGCCTTACCTGTCATCCTCACAAACTATTTTATTTGCTCCTGTATGGTTTTTCTTCAGCTCCGACCATTGACAGTGAAGGTTAGAAATAGTTGTCAAGGTGTTCCTTCTAGTACATTTAAAATGATATACACATCTTTTCAAGAAATTTATGTGTGGACTTACAGTGCCTGTTCAATAGATGATTACTATGACATTGCTCTTTGAGGAAAGAGCAACACTGTCAGAGTAACCATCTATCAACAGACAATATTAAAGGCCCAGAAAGATTTTGTTATATGTTTAGATATTCATCTGACATATATTAATTTTACAGTTACATAATTTATATAACCTTGTTTTTATTATTTTGTTTATTTATTCACCAAGTGTTTGAAAAGTTAGATTTTTAGAAATTTGATGTTATAACATTTTGAATTTGTTTTTACTCAGCTTAAATTTGAATTAATCTGATATCTGCCATGAAGCTTTGCCAATGGAAGTGAATTAAGATTTGAAGTAGAAATGTTATCAGTTGTGGGACACAAGATAAAATGATATTTATAAGTTTTGATTTGACATCTTGACAGAAGATTTGATTATTAGATATTAAAATTACAAAAATTGCTTGACAAGTATGTAGCATTGTCATACACCTAAATACATGCAAGTTTATTCAAGTCCAAGTAACTCAAACTGTCAAAGTAATTTGACCTTTATTATTTTATTAAGGGATAAGTGAATTATGCATATTTTAGAATAAGAACAAAAGGGAAAGTCTGTTGTTAGTTAAAGCTGTTGTGCTGAATTTCAGCTGAGCTTGCTTTTCATTTTTGTAAATGATGTAGGTTTATATGCACAATTATCTGATTAGTATTTTTATTCTTTCAGCAAAAGACTGGCTACTTGAAGCATGTGTACAATGTATTTGAACGCATTGGTTACTCCATAGGAACAGACAGAAATGTCTGGGATGTGCTCTGGTCACATGACTATCCTTTTAAAGAATTTGAATCCCAAATCAGGAATCTCCAGCCTCACCAGAAGGTATAAAATAAATTTTATGTTATGTTTTTAAAGCTCAAAGGTTTGGAAGATGTATTAGTGGGACTTGTTTTGTAAGTGTTGGAATCTGACTATCATATCCAAAATGGTTTTGTTTAATAAAAGTTGCACCCTTTGTACTTTTTAGCATCTCTCGACACAAAAAGAGACAGCGTGAAAGAAAAGATTAAATGCATTGTTTTACATTCATAATTAAGTATATATAATTTTATAGATAACATTTCATTTATTTTATTAATTAATTTATTCATTTATTATTTATTTATTTATTTATTTTTGCAGGTCAATCACTTCCCAGGTACTGGGTATATCACAAACAAGGTGAACCTTGCTACCTCAGACATCTGGTTTATTCCCAAAGCCTTCAAGATGCCCCAGGACAAGCCTCTGCTGCTAAAATATGTAAGCATAATACAGTGAAACTAGAAATTAATAATGGCTCTGTACTATATTCTGTCCATGATTCTTTCATGAGATGAACAAAAAATACACATTTTTAAGGAAGTGAAAAGGAAAATGCAGTAGCCTTATAACACTAGTCTAAGAACAAAAATGATGCTGTGATATTGTTCATTAGAAGATTTCATTAAAGAGTTCCATTATGTGTGTTAGTCACCTGGTTACTATAAAAGCTTCAATCTATAGAAAGAAATAAAAAAAAAATATTGCTCACAAAAATGTCATTGTCTTTTGGTTCATCTTCAGTAGATGGTCACAGCAATTACGGAGAACAGTAACTCGAGTTTTAGCTGTTGCTTGAACGAACTAACATAATAACATTCTAAATGATGAAAATGCCACACTTACAGATAAGTGCAGATAAAAGAAGGGATGTTATATACATATATTTTTTAATATTTGGAAATTTTATTTGTTATCAATGCCAGTGATAAACAAGTTGTTGGTTGATTTCAGAGTGGAGAGCATCCACAAAAAATGTGGGTCCAGAAAAGTAACAATCACAGAGGAATCAAAATTAAGAAGATATCAGGTATTATTTGTCTTTACTTTGTAATTTATTTTCAGTACATGAATAATAATAATAGTAAGAGTAGTAGCTTGCTTATAAGTGAAATTTGCATTCTCCTGCAAGCATTTTTGTTTTAAATTCAGGAAGTAGATACCTACCTGTTTGTACTAATATTGGTTACAGTGCCAACTGTTGGGTGTTGGTCCATTATTTTTGTCTTTTTCAAGAATGCTGAGTGTAACTGTACATTGTAGGTTGCAGTTTTCATTAAAATGTCAATTACATTTAGTAAATAAAGTCCATAGTCTCTAGAATGCATAATGATGCATACATTGTATATTATTATGCTTTTTTATATATCTCTTAATTATTTATCTCTTTATTTTGTTGCAGAGTAACATTAAAAACAGAGATACATGGATGCACCGCTGTAATTTTTTTGACTGTTGGTTATTGTAAATGTAACAGCAGTTATGTTTGTGTGATGGTAAATCTTGATTACAATTTCAGACCTAGACTTGTCATCAGGTGGGACTTTTGTCCAGGAGTTTGTTGATAAGCCATTTCTCATTGATAGAAGGTAAGTTTGAGATTAAAGATAGGAAAGTTGCATAGAAAACTTTGGAACAATAGTAACAACTTTTGGAATGAGGATGTTGTAGGGTTTATTAAATAGTAACATATTGATTTATTAAGGTTGATTTTCAATTTTATTCTGTGGATGTGATTGTTTTTTCTGTACTCTCCCCATGTGTAGAAAGTATATATATCTCATAGATGCATGACTTCATGCCACATTACAAAGACACTTATGTCAAGTAATTTTGATTAAATTTTGAGTTCCAGCAGTGTATGAAACTGTCTGTATTCCACTGCAGTAAACCAGATTTCTCGATCAGTTAAAAAAAAAAAGAAACTGTTAATGCTATGTTGGTCTTAAATGTTAGACTTGAAGTAATAGTTTAATTCAAGTCAAGATAAATATGTATTGTCCAATACAAAATTTAGACCAGCTTTTCATATTTATTTTCTAACAGGAAGTTTGACATTGGCATCTATACCACACTTACCTCCATAGACCCTCTCAGAGTGTACATTCTGGACAGTGAAGTGCTTATAAGGTGGCATTAAATGTTTTATACACATATTACTATATACCATCAGCACTATCAACAATCTTCATAATAGACTGTCATATTTAGTTGTGCATCCTTTGGTTAAGTAAGATCACAATCAGCTTGAATTATACTCTCTGGTAAAGTATGTTTATATCTCCAGCTACTGGAAAAAATATTACAATTCTAATGGAATTACACAATTGATAAAAACTTCAAAAGAATATGAATATTCTTATATTTGGTCATGGTAAGACAAAGTTCAGAATAAAAAATCATTGTTATTATTTAAGGCATATTTCTCCGTTTCTCAGGTTCTGTCCCCAGGATTATTACCCCTTTGACCCTGAGAATGTAGACAAGTATGTGGTGGGAGACGACTACACCCCCACCTGGCAGGTAGGAGTGCTGGACATAACTGATGTTGCTTGTTTGAAGTGGAACATTCCTCTGTATAATTTAATCTTATATAATTTATGCCCATTTTGTTGATTTGAAATTTATCCTTACAATGTATGTTCATTTTCATTAGTCTTCTTTTTATAACTATTTGTTTCACTGTACAAATTTGGGGTCACAATTTTTTTTTTTTTTTTTTTTTTTTGTGCTAGAGATGGATTAATGAATAGATTAATTAGCTCTGATTTCACAGCCCCTATTCCAAAGCACAGTATGGTAAACTGTAGCTTGACCCCTGTGGTCACAGTTTGACAAATTACTTCCATTATTGTGTGGTACAAACTTCAGAAGACTTTGATAATCTTATTCTTTTATCACTTTCAGATGCCAAGTTTGAAGAATATCTATGAGCAGAATGCTCACACTCACAAAGAAACAATAAGCACGTACCTAAGACAGCATGGTAATTGATTTAATTTAATTTAATGATATGATATTGATTTGTGTGATAAATCCCTTTAAATGTTTGCAAGTTATTATACATTGTAATTCATGAATTTGAGCCAGCTTTAAGAATATATTAATGTCCACTTTTATAGGAAAAAAGTTTTTTTTTTGTTAAAAGTCATGAAAACAACACCATTTACAGTAATACTGCAGTTTTGATGCACTGCATAATATACTGCTGACATTTGGTTGTATGTTTAGAATATATCTGAAATTACAGCATGATCAATTGGTAATTAAATATATTATATCATCATCTGAGTATTTTTGCTTTTTCTACTGTGGCACAGGGCGCAATGATACCAAATTGTGGGATGATATAAGGCAAGCCATCATGGAGGTATACATATCAAAGGAACCTAATCTCATTGGAGCAGCTAAGTCATACAAGTCAACAAGGTGAATTTACAAAAAAACTTTTTTATTGTTTGAAAGTAAGATTTGTATTACAGGTTTTATTTGGAGATCTTTTGGTGATACATTTTGCTCAAAAATAATTATACATAAATTGCTCTTTTTTTTCTTTCAGAAATTTCTTTGAAATGGTTAGATTTGACTTTGTGGTGGATGAAGATTTGCATATATATTTAATGGAGGTAATTATTTATTTGAAATGTTTAGACCTTTTTTTGTGAAAGTTTTGTCTTTATTTTTAGCGTCCTAATTTAATTTGAAAGATTTTTTTTACTATTCCCTCTTGATGTGGACATTATTGCAGACATCTAAAATTGCTTTGTAAGCCAAAACACTAATACAAATTATCAACATCTGCTGATAGAGAACAGTCAAATCTTTTTGTGCAGTCTGTGGCATTAGTTACCAGTGCAAGGGAACCCAACTTGCCAGTGATCTAACAAATATATTTTAGAGGTACTAGTCAGACCAAACTAGTGTAAATGTCATTATAGATTATGTACTTATCATCATCAAATCTATGGATGTCATCTTTGGGCTTGTAAGTTTCTTTATCTTCTATTACAAGTTACCTGTGAACTAAAAGTTTTCTTACACAGCATGTACATGTTTATTATTTAGATTGTATATTATTTAGACATACACATGTATTTTATTTCTTAATTGATCTGTTTTCAGGTGAACATGTCTCCCAACTTGTCTTCGGGGCATTTCTCCCAGAATAAACTACTTTATGAGCAGGTGGTGTTTAATTTGCTAAGTCTTGTGGGTGTGGCTAGGGGAGTCACCAATAGCATCTACCAGAGGTAAGAGGAAAACTTATTAGAAAACCTATTAAGATTGTTAGACATCCTGTTGAAATGATATTTTTGCTTTTTTCTTTAACTGGGAATATTTTATCTATCAGTGACTTGGAGAATTATTATGATGAGGATGCAGCATTGTCTTTGTTAAACTTTCAAAATCTATTTGATATTAAGAAAAATATACATAAATCAATTTTTATTACTATTATTATTAATTTTTT